GTGGAGGTGGAGACAGACTAAGTAGAAATATCACCACTCCATAGATCCTGATGGCATCCTGTTGATCCTCTTCTTCTGGTCTTCTTGAGGGTGAAGGTCCCCCTGAAAAGCATAGAATCCAATGGGTTAATATACGGTCGGGCCAGGTGGCAATGTCCAGGTACATCCCCTGGAGAGGGGAAGTTTCTTGCAGCAGACTCTGGATTTGTTGCATCATGTACAGTCCTGTGGTGCAAGGCCTCTGGGTAGTGCTTTGGAATCTCTTTGATGGATTATGACACCCCCTCAGCAGCCTCTTTGATGGTAAATATGAGGGAAAGAAAAGGGAAGAGAAAGAAACAGGGAAAGAGGAGCTTGGGGGGTGGGGGGGGGAGAGAGTAAGGTGGAGGTGGAGACAGACTAAGTAGAAATATCACCACTCCATAGATCCTGATGGCATCCTGTTGATCCTCTTCTTCTGGTCTTCTTGAGGGTGAAGGTCCCCCTGAAAAGCATAGAATCCAATGGGTTAATATACGGTCGGGCCAGGTGGCAATGTCCAGGTACATCCCCTGGAGAGGGGAAGTTTCTTGCAGCAGACTCTGGATTTGTTGCATCATGTACAGTCCTGTGGTGCAAGGCCTCTGGGTAGTGCTTTGGAATCTCTTTGATGGATTATGACACCCCCTCAGCAGCCTCTCACGTGAATGTCCCGTGGATGTGTCCTGTGGAGTTGGGGGTTTCTCCTGGATTAGGGCAAATCTAGGAGAAAACCTCCAAAGGGGCCCCCCCCCCAGAAAGCAAACCCACACGGCCCCTTCCCCCCATCAGTTCGGGAAGGACTTCTCGGAAAGAAGTGGAAAGAACCTGTTTATTTAACAGGCAAAACACCCCCAGCACACAAAATGAACAATACTGGATGACAACAGTCTTAAACCAATCTGAAAAGGATGACAAACTCAGAAAGTCTTTCCTGGGAGTGGTCGCTCTGTTGTCGCTCCCTCCAGTGCTGGGGATAGCTGCTGCAGCCACAAGATGCAAACTCTTGGTGTTTCCCAGGTCCCAGTCCAGAGCAGGTTTGAATGGTTCAAAAAGGGAAAGGAAAAACAGTCCAGGGAAAAATCTGGACTGCTTAGCTGAACTAACTAACAAGCAGAAGCAAAAAGCAAAAGCAAAGCAGGAACACAGCAGAAGCAAGAGCAAAGCAAGCAGCAAAAAGCAAAGCAAAAAGCAAAAGCCGCATTATGTACTGCCCCGTCTCTCTGTTCTGCCAGCCGTGGGGGAGCAGGCTGATAACAAACCAAAACAAACCTTGCTCTTCAGAGCCAGTCTTGAAGGCACAGTACATAATATCCAGCATTAACAGAACACACGATTGGGGATACAAGCATCATTACCTTACCCTTGGACAGGGTTCCACAGCGGGGCCATTTTTTGTAAGGGAGGGTGGGTATTCACTGCCTCTGACCAGAGGTTACACCCACACACCTGAAACCTCCCCCCTCTTCATTTTGGGGGGAGCCTGTGTAAACCTGGCTTCTGTGGGCTGTGGTCTCCCCCACCCCAAATCCAGCCAGAGGTGACTCTCAGCATGGGTGCTGGGTTTGGCTCTCATTCTTTTCCTTGTTTATTTGTTTCCTTCTCCCTGGGCCTGAGATGACTGAATAATGGGTTTCTAATCATCAGTTTGACTTTCAGTCCAAAGTCCCAGTCAGATATCTTTTAGGCAGGGGTGGGCTTCTTCATACAGTTTTGCTATAATGGGCAAAACTTTATATCACTGTTTGAGGCATGAACTATTTCAGTCTCTGACACATAGTGCAGACCATGGTGAAGCAGCTGTGCCCCTGCAGCCCATGGCAGAAATCTACCTGCAGCCTATGGAGGACACCCGTGTTGGAGCATGTGGATGCCTGAAAGAAGGTTGTGACCCTGTGAGAATCCCATACTGGAGAAGGCTCCTGGCAGGAGCTGGGCCTTGTGGGAAGGGGTGCCCATGCTGGAGCAGGTTTGTTGGCAGGACTTGTGATCCCATGGAGGATCCACACTGGAGCAGCCTGTTCCTTAAGGACAGCACCCCATGGAAAGGACCCACATTGGAGCAGTTTGTGAAGGTCTGAAGCCTGTGGGAAGTACTCGTGCTGGAAAAGTTTGTGGAGGACTGCCTCCTGTAGGAGGGACCCCACGCTGGAGCAGGGGAAGGACTCCTTTACCTGAGGAGGAAACAGTGGCAGAAACATGTGATGAACTGATCATAACCCTCATTAGTGCAGACCATGGTGAAGCAGCTGTGCCCCTGCAGCCCATGGCAGAAATCTACCTGCAGCCTATGGAGGACACCCGTGTTGGAGCATGTGGATGCCTGAAAGAAGGTTGTGACCCTGTGAGAATCCCATACTGGAGAAGGCTCCTGGCAGGAGCTGGGCCTTGTGGGAAGGGGTGCCCATGCTGGAGCAGGTTTGTTGGCAGGACTTGTGATCCCATGGAGGATCCACACTGGAGCAGCCTGTTCCTTAAGGACAGCACCCCATGGAAAGGACCCACATTGGAGCAGTTTGTGAAGGTCTGAAGCCTGTGGGAAGTACTAGTGCTGGAAAAGTTTGTCGAGGACTGCCTCCTGTAGGAGGGACCCCACGCTGGAGCAGGGGAAGGACTCCTTTACCTGAGGAGGAAACAGTGGCAGAAACATGTGATGAACTGATCATAACCCTCATGCTCCATCTCCCTGCCCTGCTGTGGGGGGAAGGAGATAGAGAATCAGGAATAAAGTTAAGCTTGAGAAGGAGGAAGGTGTTTTTTAGGATTTGTTTTACTTCTAATTTTCCTGCTCTGGTTTTGATTGTTAATACATTCAACTCATTTCCCTAAGTTGAGTCTGTTTTTCCCATTGTGGTAATCAGTGGGTGGTCTCTCCCCATCCTTAACTCATGAACCTTTTGTTATATTTTCTCTCCCCTGTCCAGTTGAGGAGGGGAGTGATAGAGTGGCTTTGGTGGGTACCTGGCATCCAGCCAGGGTCAAATCACCACAGATGCATATGTATTTTTGCTGTTCAAGCACTGACAACCTAATGAGCCAATCACAAATAAGATCTCTGGAGTTCTGAGAGGAGGATGAGCAAGTACATCAAAATAGCATCAGGGAAGAAGTAATGCAGCATTTGTAGTCTTTAGCATCTGATGTTTACCAAACAAAAGCTGATACCTTTTGATCAAAAGATGGAAGCAAGCTGATTAATCCCATTCTCAGAAGTCACCTCACTGAGGATGATAAAGATGGCAATAAAGTCTATTTTAGGACTGTGATTGGAGATGCAATGATAACTACACATTGTTGCATCCTTACTTAGGTTTTCTTTTTTTTTTTAAACTCTGAAATGACTAACGTGAAACTTCTTTGTGCTGTGTGGTACAGGTTTTAAAAAGCCTTGTGCCAACACTGAAATATGGATTCAAGTTCAAAAAATACAGTTGCATATGTTTAGGACCCACAAACTTACCAGGAAATAAATGCATCTATTTAGGAAGTTTCTGTGTATTATTGTTCTGTATTCTTGTATATTTAATAACAATTTCAACATTTTATTTCAAAGAAAGAGGATATATGGTGATTAGCTCGATGAAAAAGCTTAGGAAAGTTTTTTTTCATCACTTTTCATTTGGGAGATTATTAGTTGAGGCAAAATGGACTCATAGTCAGTCCTAGTTTATAAACAGCCTTCCCCATTCCTGTCACCTAATTAGTTTTTCCTGGCATTTCTGTATGTGTTAAAAATGGAAGTGACTCTTTCGGCCATCCTCTCTGCTGGATGTGAATCAGCCAACCTCTACAGCTGATCACTGGATGACCTGCCATAGTGTGTAAGCTGTTAGTAGGTATCTGTCTTTTGTCCTGAACGTGGGCCTTCTGCCCTGTGCGCAGCGCCAATTCACACACTGAGGACGAGGTACTTCTATTTCTTTGTTGTGGTAGGCACAAAGTAGGGAGCTGGGTGGTAACCCACAAAAGGTTGGCTCCCCAATCATCAAAGCTTTATGTTATTTATACATTTTTAGCAAACAAAGGCATTAATGTTCATTGGCTACAAGCTACCCAGTTCTTTTATTAATTAGTATTCTACCTTCTATTGGTTAATGATTCTCTCGCTTCTCATGCTAATTAGTCCATATGCTCAGTCTTCCTCTTCTTTTGGGTCTGTGGGTTTCTTGGGTTAGTGGTCCGTGAGTCAGTGGTCACAATCTCCCCCTGCCAGAATTACCTTTTACCCAGTTGGAGCTGATTTCAACACAGTTGCTGAGTTGGCTTTATTCGTTTCTTTCTTTTCTTGAGAGTTCTGCCAAATATCCTTATGGCCTGTAAATTCTGCATTCTTTGTGTCCACTATCAGGGGTACATCCTCCCCAAGCTTTGGTAACCTCCCCCTAGGTCTGAGATCAGTGAAGCATGTCAAGCCCTAAACCTCAACAAGGCAATTCTACCAACAAGTAATTTATATTTCTAACACCTGGAAATCAGCAAGCGCCCTTAATGTTTTGTGTAAACATAGTAAAGTTGTGAACACATAATTTAGCAATGAGTTATAATTTTATTGAATGACAGCTTCCAGTGTTCATACCTTTGTATCACAATAAAGAGGGAGTGACTTGAGATGGATACTCTACTGGAGGTCAAGATTTGTACAGTTTTTAGTAAACTTAGAGCAGAACCTACCCTGCAGTGTTTGGACATGATTATTACCTTAACTGGAATTACTTTGTGCTTGATGTCTCACATCTGAGCCCTTCATGATAGCAGGAAGGGGCAACCTGCCTTTGCATTTCAAAGCCCTTCAAATATAATTTGTAATTAAATGTACTTCCTCTTTTTATGCTTGACAGCTCTTAATAAAACAATGTAGCAGTTTGTTTTGGGGGGGGGCACCTAACTCCTTAGATCTTTGAGAAGAGTAAAATGAGAAAAACGGTGTGAAACCTGTGAAGATATACGAGATCTCATTTCCTTTATTCCCCTGATTCACTTAGGCATTCTGATAACAACCATTGCTTCAAAAGGGGAATTGCAGAATTGGCCTGACCTCTTACCAAAGCTTTGCAGCCTGTTGGATTCTGAAGATTACAATACCTGTGAGGTAAAAAGGCTTATTTTGAAATGTATTATCATGTAAATTTATTTTTTGCCTTTCTTCATAGATACTATAGATATGTATAGTATTTTGTGTGGGTATGTATGCACACATATAATCTTGTTTTTCCAGTATTCATGAAGGAAAATAAATACCAGCTCAACTGTTTTAAGCTATGAGGAGAAAAATCTTGTCTGATTTTAAAAAAAAATCTTGCTTTTAAGCATTTTTAAAAATATGATTAAATAAATGAGCACTGAATGTTAAAATTAAAATTACCACTTACTTATTATAGACTCATCCAGCTTGAGATCTTACAGGTGACAATATAAAGTGCTTAAATAAAAAGTCTTTAAGGCTATTTTAATTTAACTCCATATTGAGTTAGCTACATTTACTTTGTTAATTAGCTACGTTTACTGTGGTCTTTTGCTAAAATTACCTGTTCTGTAAAAACACTGAAATGTTGCTTTCTTCAAAATGTAAAATAACAGATTTTCTTTTGCTTTGGGTTTGTTGTTGTTGTTGTTTGTTTGTTTGTTTTTGTTTTTAAACAGGGTGCATTTGGTGCTCTTCAGAAGATATGCGAAGATTCTGCTGAAATTTTAGATAGTGATGTATTGGACCGACCACTCAATATCATGATACCTAAATTCTTGCAGTTCTTCAAACACAGCAGTCCAAAAATAAGGTAGGTTTAGGTGCTATACTAAAGTTATCTGTTAAAAATTTATTTACATGATCAGCGAGGTTGATATTTTGTAGATCAGTTTCAAACATACTTAGTTTTTTAAAATGGTCCTGCATATGCAAATGTGAGAAGGCACAGCAGTTTCATGCATTGGTCATTTCCATGCTTATCTGTTTAGTTATTAGATCAGCCTCACCTCTTTATATATCTTCCAAATAAAAAATCTGTCTGACTTTGAAAATCAAATTATTTTTTAAGAATTTTCATAGTATTATGAAAGTTTCAATGCCATGGTTAAAATTTCAAATTCTGATTAGAAAGAACTATCTTGCATTTGTTTTGTTATCACTGCAGCAATGAAAGAGTAAAAAATAATTTGCTGATAATGGTTTCTGAGTTCTTGCAGAAAAGTATTTTTCTGCTTTAACTCCACAAAAACTTATAAAGCTCTTTATCTTTCAGATAGATCAAATTGAATTGGTTCAACATCCTTTTACTTCAATACAGTATTAATCTCTCCAAAGTAACAGAAGTATAGAAGAAAAATTCCAAAATTAATTTGTTATTGCTAATATTTATCAACAAGAACAGTAGCTTTTACCCTGTGTAGGGGTTTTGGTTCGCCAATTCAAGACTTACCCAAGTTTAAGATTTCTTGGCCCAATGCACCAAAGAGCATGCCCGGTTTCGGTGCTGGCCAATCACCGATACACTCACTTCCTGCTGTGAGACAGGATTAGAAGAAAGGCAAAGCAGGCTCAAAACTTTAAAAGGGTATAAAGAAAATTTTATTAACAGTAACTAAAAGGAAAAAAAGTAGTAGGAATCAAAATGAACCCTTCAGAACACTTCTCCTCACCCCACAACCTTTTCTTTCCCACTGACAATGTAAAGAAACAAAACCTAAAATTTCCAGTCAGTTTACCACCTCTAAAATAGTCTTTCTTCAGTTCACTTAGGGAGAGAAGTCCCTCTTGTTAATGTTATGGAGACTTTTCCACAAGAGGAAAAAACAGTCCTCTTGTGGCTCTCAATTTCTATGACTAGCAGCCGCCTGGGGAAATCTGCAGTCATGAAGTCCCTCCCATTTCCACAAGCCTTCCCACAGCTTGTCTATGGGATATGTTGACTTATGGGGTATTGTTTTAAAGATGAGTTGGTTAAAGGCAAAAGTTCTCATTATCTATTTCTAAAATCATCTTCATCCCTGGGAACAGAAATCATCTTCTCCTGGGGACACAGGACTACTCTTCTCTCTTTCTCTGTTCAAACTTCTCATGGGATCACAGCTACTTTAACATCTGCTTACTTTAACATGGAAGCCTTTGCTCAATATCAATTTGAACCCTTCATCTCCCCATAGTTTCATGCATTATAGGGAAAGAGTCTTTTTCTCCATAGCTTACAAGAGGATTTCAGCCCCAAAATCAAGGCATCTCCTCATCCCTCCCATCTGGGACTTCTTTTTCACTGACCTTGATGTCTTCGTGTTATTCCTTTACATGCTTGCTTCTTGTTCCTTTCTCTCACTCGAGGGAGGGTTGAAGCACTGAAAGGGTTGACATGTCGCCTGGGCCCTGCAAATGATCATCTGACCCGCCAGTAACTTGTGGCAGGAGCTGCAGGTGTGTCAGGATAGGCTTCATGGTTGGTCTTTGGTTTTCTCTGTGTTCAATTCCAGCCGCAGGACCACTGCACGGCTGCAGGGCTGCCTCTGGTCTCAGCTGCGCTGTGGGGAGGGGACCTGACAGCAAGATCTTAACAGCCGAGGCCGGCCCTGCTCCAGCCAGGGCTCCACAGCCTCCCCCCCCCCTTCCTGCCTGGCAGCTGCTGGGGGCCCGGCCTGGCCAGAATGGGGCTCGGAGTCCCCTGGCCCCCCCCCCTGGAGAGGGGCCCGGCCCCCTGCCGCAGGGCTGCCCGGCCCAGCCTGACTGAGACAGGGGCCAGTGGGCCCTGTTACCTGTCCCCAGGCCGCAAGCAAAATAAGTTGTTCCTGGGTTTCTTTCATCTTTAACGTGTTTTTCACAGAGATGTGTCCAGCTTTCTAGTGACTGGAAGCTTTGCATCACTTCCATAAATGTCTCTCATGTCAAACCATGACACCCTGAAATGAGCCAGCAATGTGCCCTTGCCACAAAGAAGGTGAATCTCATCCTGGGCTGGAGTGTTGCCAGCATGGGAGGCAATTCTTCCCCTCGCCCTCCAGATGAGGCCACACCTGAAGTACTGTGCCCAGTTCTGGGTTCCCCAGTACAAGAGAGACATGGAGCTACTAGAGGAAGTCTAGTAAAGGGCTGCAATGATGATGAAGGAACTGGAGCATCTCTCCTATGAGGAAAGACTGAGAAAGCTGGGACTGTTTAGCCTGGAGAAGAGGAGGTTCAGGGGTGACATCATCCATGTGTATAAATACCCAAAGGGAGGGTGCAAAGAAGACAGAGCCAGGCTCTTTTCAGTTGTGTCCAGTGACAGGACATGTGGCAGTGGGCACAGACTGAGACACAGGGGGTTCCCTCTGAACATTTGGAAGCACTTTTTTTACTGTGAGGATGACCAAGAACTGGCACAGGTTACCCCAGAAAGGTAGTAGAGTCCCCATCCTTGGAGATATTCAAAAGCCATCTGTAAGGCCCCAGAAAACTCGCTTGATGAGACTCTTAAAAGGGCTTATGGTTGTTCATGTACTCTGAGTTTGACATACAGGAGAAATACTGACAAGATATTCTCAAGGGGTGAAAACAACAAAAAAAAAATTACTGTCAACTTTGTAAAATCAGAGAACTTTGGCAAAAGTTTAGAGCAGCATTCAATCAACATAAAACACTTCTCAAAGCATTAACTTAGCCCATTCAACTTAACAAACTCCAAGCCCATCCAATTCTAAATTACTCAAAACTCCCAAGAAGAGGGAATTAGAAAAAGGAGAAGGACAGACAAAAAAAGATATAGAAAAGAACAAATATAGCTACCACTCCTGGTTCCACAGTGTTCAGCTGATAGAAATTCCAAGAAGTAGAGTCAAAACATGTGCTCACCTCATGTCCTTAGTTAAATACTCTTTGGCTTTCCTGGGTCCTTCCCCCAGGTGGGACTTCCAGTCATCTGACTAGTCTGGGGCTAGATTGGGGCTCCAGGGGCAGGGTGTGGAGCATTGCCTCCAGTGTGCCAGTGATTGGTGGCCCCTGCAGGGGCTGGGATGCAGGCCCCAGGGGGCATGGGGTGTGCAGAACAGGGCACTGCCTCACCAGAGCAAGGCCAGACCTGCCCCTTCCCCCCACACATGCACCCAAAATGTTTCAAGCCAGCAAGCCTTCCGGTCTCTCACACTGTTGTGATGTGGTCCTGTGCAACCAGCTGTAGGTGGCCCTACTTGAGCAAATGATCTACAGAGGTCCCTTCCAACCTCAATCATTCTGGGTGATTGTCTGAAATGTGTTTTTGGACTCCTCTTTGAAAATTATATCAAAAGATTCTACAACTTGGAGGGCTCAGTTATTACTAGCAGTAGTATAGATAGTGAAGAGTAAAAGGAAGCATATAACTAGGAATATATCTTGATAGGATTTAATAAGATTTAGAAACTCCCCTAAAATAGATGCACACTGTCTCCGTCTCTCTGTGTGCCTCCCAGTGAACCCCGGCCAGCCCCGGGTCGGAGTCTGGTCCCCCTCGCACAGCTTAAGAGGGACATTCAAAGTGGGCGCTGAATAAGACTTGGGCCAATGGGATTACAGATACATGATGGTTCAGGGCAGGACCACAGGCTTGGAATATCCCATACATTTTGGAGGGGTGAGACAGAGCATACCATTAACTAAAATGCAACACTACAGGAAGATAAGCTTTTTCTTTGAAATAGGTAAACCAGTTTCAACTTTAAAGCAGATCATCTGCTGACCTGTTGCCTGGTTTCAGTACATAGTATTGAAGAATGAAGAATATTAGTTGTGTCAGTAAAATAGTATTAGTACTTAATAGTATTTAAATATTATCAGTATTTAAATCTGTGAAGAGACAACTTTTGAACACTGTTTTATGAGACTCTCTTCCACAAAATGTCTGAAGAGACTAGATATTTGAAGTTAGATTAGTAAAAATACTTGAATGGATCTTCAGAGGCTTTTAAAGGTAGCTTTATATTGTGCCTCTACTTATATAATTTGGCTTTTGTGTCTCTGAGAATGAAAAAGACTTGTAAGCAATGGCTTTGCATGAAATGGAATAAAGAATCAGCTCTTCACTTTAAATTTGTTTCTACCACAATTGTTTTATTATGTATCCTAATGCAAGTGTGTATTTGTTCTAAGCTACAACTATATTACTGATGCATATTGGTCTCATTAAATGGTAAAAATCTTGCAAAGGCAGTTGGATACTTAGCAATGAAGAAGGGCATGCTAAAATTTCACCATGTTAACTTGTATGGAATTGTTAACATTGTTACCAAAAATCAGTGAAAATAAAACTCCTTAACGCTAATGTAGCGTTAAGAAGCAGGCATTCTTTATTTAGCCGGATGCACAGGGGGATAGCTCCTCCAAAATATTGTGCATCTTGAGTACAGAAAGAGCTCCTGTTTATATGCTATATTTTACATACATATACATAGGTTTTCCCAGAAGAAACATATGTATTATAATCATTTTCCCAAAGTAATTAACATATTTTCCCTCCCTTTTACACATGTGTTTTTCTGTCCTGAGGTTCTTTTTGGTGGTCCATGGTGGTTGGCGACCCCAAAGTCATACCTGACCACCTGCTTAGCTGGTAAAAGTTGGCATAACAGGTCTGGCTGCTTTCCAGTTCTTCTTCCTACAGAAAACATTGTGTGGTTCCATAGGCCAGTGGTCCTTGAAGAATAAGTATTGTGTTAGCTCACTAGGTGCAAATGAGTCTTCATCTGGCAACAATATCAGAGAAAACTGATAATCATAATATACTGAAAAAGACCATCCTTACATACTGTTTGGAACAAATGTGCCAGGTAGTCATCCTGCTATGGTTCTTATTTATTGAATACTTCATTTAAAATTATTTATTAGATATATTGGAGTATATGGTAGTACTTAAAAATGTGGTTTACTAATTTTTATTGGTAACAATATAGATGGTCAGATTTCATCCCTCTTGCCTCTAGAATATGCTTGGACAGTGTGCCTTGGTTTGAAAAGACAGGTGTCTGCTAAGGAAGGCAGGAACCTCTCTTGAAATGGAAAATGTAAACCCCCTCCCTCCAAAATATTATAATTTTGAAATTAAGAGGCTCTCAGGCAAAGATACGAGAGTAGAAATAACAGTTGTTTATTACAAAAAATTAAAAATGCAGTAATACAAAACAACACTGACAGAGTCAGAATGCAACCTGACACCCTGTTGGTCAGGGTGTTGGTAGCAGTCTGATTAAATGGTGGCTGCAGTCCTCCTGGAGTGATAGATGCAGTTTCATTGAAACAAAGAGCCTGTAGAAAGGATGTAGTTTTCCTTTGAAGGCCCAGTGGTGGTGTAGATGGGCCTGATCTTCTTCTGGGAAGCCAGTGAGAAAAGGCTGCCTGTGTTGTTCCAAATCTCCAGTTATATCCAGGTAGGAATGCTTGGCTCCTCCCCCTGGGTGGAGCATCTCACAATGGGATGATGTAATTTTATCAGTCAGGCAGTGACACTCAATGGCCCATTAACAGAAGATATCTCCATTGAGGGAGGATAGGTCAAGGAAGAGATAAAGAAAACTGCCCCACCTGATTTTAATTGGTGACCCAATTAACAGACGATAACTGCCCCACCTCTAACAGATGGCAATAGAATACACACCCCCAGCCACATCTTGCATTTGCAACCTAAGACACAGTATTATTTACTTCTTAATATTTGTGATACCTATGTACAGTTTAGAAAATGTTTAAGACATGAAGAACATATATATTTTAACTGTTCAATTTGTAGGTCTCATGCTGTTGCGTGTGTCAATCAATTTATCATCAGCAGAACTCAAGCTCTTATGTTGCACATAGATTCTTTTATTGAGGTGAGTGTATTTTTGCTTGGCGGGGTAAGTCAAATAGCATATCTAATTTATCAAGAGCTTTGAATAATGTTTTGCAACCTCCACTACCCCTAAACTCCACACCGATGGCTTCCCATTCTTAGCTTCAATCCCCATGGGTTGAAAGTCATTCTGCATGCTTATGCTTAAATTAGTCTAAGCACTCTCCCAGACCAAGGAAATAGTATTTTGAAAATGCTTCCTTTTAATAAATATAGGAAACTCTTCTTGCATAGAGGTACTGGCAGCAGTCTGTTACATGTGATGGAGAGTTCAGTACAGGGATCACCATGTCACTGAGTCTAGATTATGGGTCTCTCTGAATACTACTAGTGAATGTGGATTAGAAGGATGATATTTTGGCTTAACCAGGGTATTTTATTTGCTGCTGTTATGTTCTGAAGGCATTTTCTAGCTTCAGAACTTAATTAATGTTTAGGGGGAAAAAATCAGGGAATAATGTTCTTGTGTCTAATGTACACATGACCAAAACACTGGGTAACAATACACATTGAAAGTCTGAAGAGTTCATTTGCTAAAACATATGTCTTTAGGAAATAATACAGTTTTCTGAGGTGTGGGGTGGGATGGTACAGAAGTACATGTTTCCATACTTTAGTTTGCCAATAATGTAAAATTTAATACAAGTTGAACTTGATGAATTGAGGCTTTTCTACTGGTATTGCTTTCCAACAGAATCTTTTTGCACTGGCTGGTGATGAGGAGCCTGAAGTACGCAAAAATGTTTGTCGTGCTCTGGTAATGTTGCTAGAAGTTCGAATGGATCGCCTGCTTCCTCATATGATTAGTATAGTTGAGGTAAGTCTTATTTCTCTGATTGTATGCTGAAACATGTTTGGAATTGCAGAAATAATAGCAAATTAAAAGCATACATCAGAATAAGTGTGTTGCTTTTGTGCTTGCTTACTCTTTGTTTTACATTTGTGCTTGCCTACTCTTTGTTTTCCTTCAAGACTGAAGTTGCAAAAGTTTCTTTTTAGCTAATTGCCAACATGACGTATTTGGCAGTGCATATGGCAGTTGTTCATTCTTCTTTAAGTTAATTGATCCTGAAATGGCCAGGATCAGCTATACCATGGAGCAGCCAGGCATTGCCTGACCACAAATGAGATCATGTTAAAAATCTTCGTTCTGGTGCTGATATTGTTACAGTTTGCACATTGAAGCTGTCACCTTTTTTGGATCTTTTGCCACAGCAAGGATAAGGAATGCAATTTTAAATATCTGAGATGCTCTTTGAGCTACTAACAAAGCTGCCTGCCATTGCATTCAATTTTATAGGTGGGTGTCCTTGGATAGTTCCTTGATTATTCTAGATTAGTGCAGACTTGCTACCAGAAGACCAATCAACTGGTACTTGTTTGCTCAACTGAGTTGTAATTTCCATGTTTCTGGGAAACACTGGCAGTTTCTAGATAGCCTTTACATACACTACTTGCTAGACTGGAAATATAACAAAGATCAGAATCTTTCTCATGCACATATAAGAATAAATAGGTCATAATCCAGTGTCAAATTCCATAAGTGCCAAGTCCAGACAATATGAAGCAGGTTGTTTTTTGTTGTTTTTTTGCTTCTGGACGAAGCCATTAGAGAGGCATAAAACTGAGGTGACTTGTAATATTTGTCTAGTGTTGTCTGGAATTCCATGACACCAAGCCTGGCACATATCTTCTCATCTAACACAGGACAAGTAGGCATTGTTGGTACTTGAGATAGTTTTTTTTGTTTTTTTTTTTTTTTTTTCTTTTGTTTGGTCTAGTTTGGGGTTTTTTTTGGAGAGAGAGACAATAAAGCTTTGAAGATTATATTGTCAACAAATGATAACTTCTCTGACTCTTCACCCTCCTGCGATCATAGAATCCTAGAATGGTTTGGGTTGGAAGGAACCTTAAAGATCATCTAGTTCCAACCCCTCTTCCATTACTGGAAAGTGCTCTACAATCTGCCTTCTTTTCTGAACTGGAAACAGACTGAACACTCCCAACTCTCTCAGTCTGTCTTCTTGGCAGAGGTGCTTCAGCCCTCTGAGCATATTCGTGGTCTCTTCTGGACTTGCTCCAGCAGCTCCACATCCTCCTTATGTCCACAAGAGTGGAGTAGAGGAGGAGAATCCCCCCGCCCCCGCCTTGACCTGCTGGCCACACTGCTTTGGATGCAGCCTAGGACACAGTTGGTTTCTGGGCTGCGAGTGTAGATTGCTAGCTCATGTTGAGCTTCTTGTCATCTACTGTTCCCAAGTCTCTTCTCGACAGGGCTGTTCCCTGCATTCTCTGCCCAGCCTGTACTTGTGCTTGGGATTGCCCTGACCAGGTGCAGGACACTTGGCCTTGTTGAACTTTATGAGGTTTGCACAGACCCACCTTTCAAGCCTGTACAGGTCCCTCTGGATGCCATTCCTTCCCTCCAGCGTGTCGACCGCACCACACGACTTGGGGTTGTCAGCAAACAAATCAGTAAGGAACTTCTGGACTTTGCAGGTAGAAATTATGTCAGCAACCAGAAGATCCAAGATTGTATTCTCATTGTATCCCTTCTTTTTTTGGGAAAACTATTACTAGGCATCTTCTCTACAAAAGACAGCAGTAGTGAATTTTTTGTGAAGATCAGACTTCCTTCCCTTCCTCCGCAGTTTTGGGACTACTGTGTACTGTTACTGATTTGCCCAGTTCTGTATACATACATATTGATATGTGACAGTGTAATATCTGAGAGCTGACTATTTTTCATTCAAATGAGCCTGGTTTTGCCCTTTTGAAGCTTGAATACCTCCAAGCTGAATGCTTCTAATAGTGGCTGCTCTAACTGAAGGAATTCTTAAAAAGAGAGAAACTGATATCCACATGATAGGGTTTTTTATGCTTATGGAGAATTACTTTTAAAGTAGTTAAGAATATTAATAATTTGGTAGTGATTATAAGACAGAAGGTCTTGGCCAGTGTCATGCTTTTAAACTAGGCAGGTTTAATATTAACTGTTTTTCCAAGTTCCTGGAGGAACAGGGATGGTTGAATTTCAGTTTCAGTGGGTTTTTTGAGCATGTACTTCCAGGTGAGCAGAAGCAGATATGTATTTCTCTGTGGGTTTTTTTTTTCCTCCTTCCTTTGTCTGAGAACATGACAACAGGATATATCAGAAGTAGACTGACCTAATAGATTTCAGTTATTAGATTGCACTTGTATATTCATATAGCATATTTAGCCAGGCATGTGGTGCCTAAGATCTTTTTTAATAGAAGTCCTGACTTTATTTTACAATGCATAATGAGATTACTTGAATGGTGTTGATAATATGAAGTTATAACACAGAAACTCAGCTTGTTGCTAAAGAAGTAAGATTGCTTGCATCCTGTTGCTTTCAGATAGCTTTTACTGCTCAAAGGATCTTTATTAATGCATTGTGCATCATTCTTTTCTTGATGGTTTGACATAGCAAGACTAACACAACACTGTTACAGAGTATGCAAACCAGTTCTGAATAATGTTCCCATGCTATTTTGTAATTTTTTGTCAGGAAGCAACTATTTCCATTGCCTAAAGTCACTTTTTTAGCTTATCATTAAAAGTACTCATTAAAGTATGGCACAAGAATACTAAAAAACCTAAAAGCCTTCAAATACTCTTCCCATACTTTGCTTTAATACTAGTATCACTGTTTTTACTATGGGGGCCTACAAGAAATATGGGGAAGGATTCTATCAGTGAATGGACTGACAGAACAAGGGACAATGGTTTTAAACTGTTAGAGAACAGGGTTAAACTGGATATTAGGAAGAAATTCTTCCCTATAAGGGTGGTGAGGCCCTGGCACAGGTTGCCCAGCAATGTTGTGGCTGCCCCATCCTTGGAAGTATTCAAGGCCAGGTTAGATGGGGCTTTGACCAACCTGGTCTAGTGAAAGGTGTTTCTGTCCATGGCGGTGGGTTGGAACTGGATAATTTTTATGATCCTTTCCAACCCAAACCATTCTATGATTTCCAGGCTGTGTATATGGCTCTTATACCACTGAGTGTAAGAAGCCTTTTCAATCTACTGCTATCTAACTTCATGGAGCATATATTATAATAGGTGCTTAAAGATGAAATGACAGTGTGAGGAGAACCTTCAAACAGACATTACTTTTTGTCATTCTGGTTTTGTCTTTGTGACAAATAACTGAATACAACAAAAGTGTTGATTTTCAAGCCCTCTGGGGAAAAATGCCAAATCACTTCCGTTGTATTAATTAACCTTGCTTGCAATGGTGTCCTGGGGTGACTTTATGATGCTGGTATCCCCATCGTCTGTTCTCTTGCCCAAAAATGGGTCCTGTAGCTTTAAGCTAGGCCCAGAGAGAGAGAGGGTGAAGCGGGGGGAGAAGCAGCATGCAGTTTACAGACAAATGGATAGGACATTTTTCAAACTTTCCAAGCTGTAATCTGTTCATAACTCAGAATACAGCAGTATTTTTGTTGCCATCAGTTCTTAATCACAATAATGACCTTTTAGGAAACACTTGCAATTTAGTGCATTTCATAGAATCACAGAATGATTTGGATTGGAAAGGACCTTAAAAATCTTCTAGTTCCAACCTCCCCCACATGGGCAAGAACACCTTCTGCTAGATCAGGTTAGTCGGAGCCCCATCCAGACTGGTCTTGAACACTGCCAGAAATGGGGAGACGATTCCATAACCTCTCTGGGCAACCTGTGCCAGGGCCTCACCACCCTCACAGCAAAGAATTTCTTCCAAATATCTAATCTAAACCTACCCTCCTTCTGCATAATACCATTCCTCCTGTTCTTATCACTCTATGCCCTTGTAAAAAGTCCTTCAGCTCTCCTGTAGTCCCTTTAAGTACTGTAAGATGCTAGAAGGTCTCGAATCCTTCACTTCTCCAGTTTGAATACCCCAACTCTCTCTGCCTGTCTTTATAGAAGAGGAGCTCCAGCCCTCTGAGCATCTTTGTGGCCTCCCCTGGGCTTGCTCCAACAGGTCCACGTCTTTCTTGTGTTGGGATCCCAGTGCTGGACAGTTTTTCAGGTGGGGTCTCAGGAGAGCAGAATAGAAGGGGAGAATCCCCTCTCTCCACCTGCTGGCCATGCTGCTTTGGATGCAGCCCTGTAGGAATGCAGTTCTGTAGAAAGGGATATGTTTGTTGCAAATTTTGCATCCCTGAAATGCATAAGGATAATATAGGTTGCCCCATTCTATTTAATTTTGAGAACAAAATGGTATTCTGAAGGAAAATTTATTTTCTTCATTTTAAATCAATGTGTGATGAAAGGTAGCTGCATGGACTTCCATGACGCTTCTAAAATGAGTGGAAGGACCAACTATTTCAGAAATGAGCTGGCATGGAAGAATGCAGAAATTACTGTTTTGGAAGTTGCAAGCACTTTCTCTAAATTGCTTTGGAAGTCATGTACAAGAAACTGATGTAGCCATGGTATATTTAGCCTTTCTGCTTATGCAGGTATTTGATTATTTTTTGTTTAAGGGGATTTAAATTTTAACAGCAAGCTTAAAGATTTGACACCGAATCTCTGAATTACCATTCATACTTGGAAAAAGTGAGACTATTTTTTTCCCCTGTTATGAGTTCTACTTAATTGCATCCTGTCAGATAATCAATATTTGAAAGAGAGGCTTTTTTATGGTACTGGATATAAAAAGTATTTTCATCTTACTAAGTGTGTAATTGTACTCTTTTATTCAAAAGGAGAAGGGGGGGAGTGGTAAAATAATTTTTAAATCCCCCCCACTATTCTCAGGAAACTGTTTATTATCTTGGGTCTCTATCTATAGTTTCTTGGTAATAATGTTCTCACTTAAACTGGGAAAAAACTTAGAATCTGAATCATCTAGCATTGAGAAATAAGTCTCGGCTTATTCTCGCTATAGCCTTAAGTAGTCTTTTATATATGTTGCTTCCCATTGCCCCAAAGAAACAAAATTACTCTGGGAGCATAGTTTATTTTTGCAAACACACTTTGCAATGTTGATGGCTTCTTCACTTAAAACTTATACAAGATTGTGTTGTTTTTTTTTTTGTGTAGTATATGCTTCAAAGGACCCAGGACCAAGATGAAAATGTTGCTTTGGAGGCTTGTGAGTTTTGGCTGACTTTGGCTGAACAGCCAATTTGTAAAGATGTATTATGTCGGCATCTGGCTAAGTAAGTATTAAGAATTAGAACTAGTTATTTTGAACTAGTCATCCTTAAACTTCAGTTAACTTTTTCCTGGTTACTCTTTTGGAGACTGTATCTAGCTTGCTGTATGCTTGGGAGGAGTTTCTTCTAGCTAGTCCTTGTACATATTAAAAATGGCTGTATCACAGAGGTCACTGAAAAGACTTGAGGATTTCAGACTTGGCTCCTGAGGCAACCTAAACTGTGTCACTGGTGCTTTATCTCAAGCTTAACATCCTGTTAAGTATCAGATGGAGGCAAAGGTATACTAACATGTGCTTAAGCTTAAACAAACATCTCCACGTGACATTACCTATAATATCTGGTGTACCATGAACATGTTTTCTTGACAACTGCTATTGTGAGCATTTCTGTGCAATGCTTCTATGTGCATAGTCATGCCAGGGGTTCCCCATCTTTATGAAGACATAACAAAATGGCAAGATCATTTAGATTTAGGAATCAATTTCATATCAATTGCCAGGGCAATTTAAGCTTGAAAGCATGTATAATGTGTTTTTCATGCTTCTTCAGACTGACAGTAGTTTTTTAAGCTTCAAAAACTTTTTTGTAAGTTTCAAAAATTATCATAAGCTTTAAAATGTAGATCTTTGATTGAACAGGAATTTAACACCCATGCTTGAGATTTAAACAGCTGCATGTCTTCAACAGTGCTAATAACTTATTTCCAGACTAAAGACTTTTTCAATAGGAAACAAATTCTTCAGTGTTCCCAGTAAATGAAGACCCAGTTTTTGATATATGCATGGAAGGTTTTTGAAAATGCTAACGCAGTTCTGTCTGTGATTCTGCTCTTCCAGTGAAAGTGTGGAGAGAAGAGATGCATTATTTTCAGCAAAAATGACAATTTTAGATGTAAAGCAATTTTTAAAAAAAGGGAGGGACTTTACAAATTTCAGTTTTTATAAGCATTTAGAAAACAGAATGGAGATTAATGCAGCTGCTGTAGCAGTACCGGAATAGGAATTGAAAATAGAAGAACCAATGTTATGAGAAATTACTTTTGAGTTTTAAAATGTTTTTACTTAAATCCTACTCTTATAGCTAAAAATACAAAAGAATGATAGCACAGTTCTTGATTCTACCTACCTCCTTCCCAACACACATATTAATACTAGTCACCTTCTCAGTATAAATTGTAAACCTCTTTTGTCATACATGAACATTGACATTACAACAGCTTCATCCTTGGTTTTTGGGGTTTTTTTAAGAAGCTTTTAAAGTTCTAGTAAAACAGATAAGAGTAACATTACATATCTCTTATCTTTCAATGTCATTGTTGTTGAAAGCAACTTGTTTGTTGGCAAGTATTTTTGATTAGGGAGCTATATAAATTTGACAATACTCGATTATAACCTTAGGGGTTTTTTTTATATTAGATTAAGTGGGACAAGATCTTCTAGAAACCTGTTTAATATCTTGTTCCATTTTGCTCCTGTAGGTTTTTTATAAAATATATACCTCCTGCATACTTAATGAAGTATGATGCAGAAATGCCAAGTAATGGGTTTTAATCTGAATACTTAGTGTTCTTTCATTGAAAGTTTAGAAGGTAATTGTTGTGAACAAGTGGTTTCAGCTTCTCAGACCCACCATCAAAGGTACTGGCAAAAAGCAAGTTTTAATATGTATTTATGAAAGTGTGACTTTACAGAGTTTGATGGCAAGGCTCACTCTATTACTACATAGAAGAAGCATACATAGGAAAATTGGATTAGAATCAATTTAGAATGATTTGCATGGAGACCAGGAATGCAAAAGGGGTAAGGGTGCAAAGGATATGGATACAAAAGATAAGGGTGCAGAAGACTTTAGCAGCACTTAATCATTGACTAATTTAACATTTAAAAAGTTATTCAGTAGGATTTATTACAGTTATAACAGTGACTAAATTATAGATTCACTATAGAAAACATTCATACCATAATCAATTTACACACGCACAGGTAAACTCATGTCTACACCTATTTCTAGGTGTGTAAATGTACCTATCAAAACCTCCCCTCAGGTTCAGTGGAATACGTCAATTTCCTTTGCATTTCCCAACAGGCAAGGGTTGCACCTGGAGGAGCATGGAGACAGGGGGGAAATATCAGCCTAGGCCTCATCATCAGTAATGGTCCTTTGAGGACCAAACTTGAGGGTTTGTGAGCTCTGAGAGGCCCCACTCAGAGGGAGGTGCTGACTCAGCCCACTGCAGTCCAGGAGAGCTCAAAGGGCCTCACTGACCCAAGCTGATAACTACTGGGCTTTTTTCCTAGAAAGTCCAGTAACAATGGTACCATTCCACTTGGGCTGTGATTAATTTTAAAAAAGTTTTGTAACAATGGTACCACTTCACTTGGGCTATGAATCAGGTAAATTATTTACCAAGGCTAACAAGGATAACTGCATATCCTTGTTCTTCACTTTGGTCAGGCAGATGATATTCCTGTCATGATCAGTGTTCCCACCTATATCATGCAAGAGCTCCTGGCACAGTCAGAGACGCTTCAGTGCCCAAGTGGTATGGTCAAGGGATGCTTCACCGCTCAGCTGGTTCAGTCAAGATTTGTCCAGAGTTTCTGAGGTCATAGGGCAGGCCCAAGGATGGGGGGGATGCACCACCACAATGCCCCCATGACTAAAATAAATCTCTCTTGCTCCACAGAGCAGTGGTGTGGTTGCCTCTTGCCACTGTGCCTATACACAAGTTAATGCCATGTTCCAGTTGTAATTTGAGGGAAATTTTTGTTTAGTTCATATTGCCATTGAGATGCATGACTTATTGCTGGCCTGAATACCTTCAGAAACAATACTCCTCGGCTGCAGAATATAGAGAGACTGAGTCTTGCTGTTGCTTGGTCAGTCCATGGTGATTTCAGTATTTACTTGATTTGGCATGTAATACATATATTTATTTTTACGGATTAATTTCTGTAGTGAATGTGTTTATATGTGAAAGACTTGGCTTTTTTTTTCCCTAGTCCTTTTTTTTTTTTTTTTTTGCCATACATCATTACCATTGGAGACACATGGCCATAACCAGTTTAATAACTAAGTAAAGTTCTAATAAAGACTAATGATGACTAATGTCAAGATCTCTGCAATGTCAGAGACTTGTCTTAAGGAGTGATACTTGAAGTAATCACAAAAGGATAGGAGGGCTCAATGTAGTTAGACTTCCATCCTTAAGAGTAGCGAGGTAGAGTTTTCAGCCACAGGTAAGTAAAGTGACAAATGGTATACAGGAGAGCCAACATAATAACTTGTTTATCAAGCATATTTTGGAAGTGTGAATTCTTACTGAAAAGCTTTTGACTTAATTTCTGAAAGGTACTTCAAAATAGATTTTATCATGTGGAAGAATATCCTATTTTTAAAGTGTAAAACTCAGTTGTGCCATCTGGCTGCATCTAGTTAGAAGTTAACACTTTTCAGATTACAAAGTAGTAATGAACCTCATGAAATGGAGTATGGTTAAGGTGCTGACTTGTTATTAGGCTAAATTTTTGTCTGGGGTTTTTTGTTTGGTTTTATTTTGTTGTTGCTGGCGGGGGGGGGGGGGGGGGGGGGGGGGGTTTTGGTTGCAGCCAAAGTTATGGACCAGCTAACTGAAAACCAGCTTGCTTTACTTATGTGTTATTTTGACATAGAATCTCTTAAGTTGGAAGGGACCCATAAAGATCATCAAGTCCAACTCCCTGATGCTTGCAGGACTATCTAGCACTAAATCATATGACTAAAAGTGTTGTCCAGATGCTCCTTGAACTCTTGTCAGGCTTGGTGACATGACCACTTCTCTAGGGAGCCTGTTCCAGTGACTTGACCACCCTCTCAGTGAAGAACCTTTTCCTAATGTCCCGTCTGAACTTGCCCTGATGTGGCTTCATTTCATACCCTCGGGTCCTGTCACTGGTCACTAGACAGGTGAGATCAGCACCTCCCCCTCCACTGGCCCCCTTGAGGAAGTTGTAGATTGCAATGGGGTCACCCCTCAGCCTTCTCTTCTCCAGGCTGAACAGACCAAGTGACCTCAGCCACTCCTCATAAGTCTTGCCCTTGAGACCCTTCACCGTCTTCTTTGGATGCTCTTTAATAGCTTTATATCTTTCTTATATTGTGGTGCCCAAAACTGCACACAGCACTCGAGGTGAGGCCGCACCAGTGCAGAGCAGAGTGGAACAATCACCTCCCTTGCCCAGCTGTTAATGCTGTGCCTGATGCACCTCAGGATATGGTTGGCCCTCCTGGCTGCCAGGGCACTGCTGACTCACATTCAACTTGCCATTGACCAGAACCCCCAGGTCCCTTTCTGTAGTGCTGCTCTCCAGCCTCTTGTTCTCCTGTTTGTCTGTACATCCAGGGTTGCCCCATCCCAGGTGCAGAATCCAGCACTTTTCTTTGTGAAACTCCATATGGTTGGTGATTGCCCAGCCCTCTCATTTGTCTGTCTCTCTGCAGGGTGCTTCTGCCTCCAGGGAGTCCACAGCTCCTCCTACTTTAGTATCATCAGCAAACTTAGTTAATGTACATTTGATTCCTGCTTCCAGATCATTTATAAAAACATTAAAGAGCACTGGCCCTAAAATTGAACCCTGGGGAATCTACAGATAACCAGTTGCCAGTCTGATGTGACCCCATTTACTATAACCCTTTGAGCCTGACCTGTCAGCCAGTTGTTCGCTCAATCTATTATAAACCTTTCTAGCTGTGTGCTGGACATTTTGTGCAGAAGGATACTGTGAGAAACAGTATTGAAAGCTTTGCTAAAAATCCAAAAATCCTCACATCTACTGGTGTCCCTTTGTCAGCTAGATGGGTGACCTTGTAAAAGGAAACTAAGTTGGTTAAGCAGGACTTCCCTCTCACGAACCTGTGCTGGCTGTTACCAATGACTGCGTTGTCTCTCAAGTGTTTTTCAATAAGTCCCAGAATAAATTTCCCCATAATTTTACCAGGTGCTGAAGTGAGATTGACAGGCCTGTAGTTACCAGGGTCTTCCTTCTTGACATGTATCAATATTTCTTTGTAGACTGATACCTGTGCTGGTAAATGGTATGAAATATTCAGAGATTGATATTATTCTGTTAAAGGTAAGCATTCCTTTCTTTTATACTCAGTAAGAATATCTGGTTAGCTTCTGACTTGTAAATCAGAATGGTTAAGCTGGTAGACCAGATCTGGTCTACCATCTGTTCAATGGAGATTTAGCTTTCTGGGGCAAGGTGTGCTGTTCCAAAAACTGAATGCAACTGCTGCCATGTTTGTTGGAAAATAATCTGTGGGTTTTCCTGCTTTGCTCCTCTCCCCTTCCACCCAATTTTGGCAGAGCTGGGATACTTTTACCCATGAATTACTGCAGCAAAGCAGCCTATAAAGAAATTATCAGAATTAATTTTAATGCCCTTCTCGCTTGAACTACACAGCTTTTTCCATCACAACATTTTAGAATGTGTCTGTGTACTAGAATTTCTCTCTCTTCTTCTTTCTAATTCCTTCCCATCAAGAGTAATTTCTTAACAAGAAGAGTACTTTGTGCTTTTCTGTGAGATTACCTCTGTTGCTTCCGTTTTCCTGAAATATTTCTGGTAAATACTGTATCACAATGCAGGAACAATGGCATTTTTAGTTAGCTAGGCAGCACAAGTGGGATGTGAATTTTTCACACGTTTATAAAATATTGAACTAACATTTGCACTACATTCTTAACTTCCTTGAGCAATATAGTTGCACTGGTTTATCTGATAAAACATTTTTTGGCAGGGGGATGTTGAAGAAGATGAAGCTATTCCAGATAGTGAACAGGACATAAGACCTCGTTTTCACCGTTCGCGGACAGTAGCTCAGCCACATGAAGAAGATCGTATTGAAGATGATGATGATGATGACAATGATCTTGATGATGATGATGATACTATTTCTGACTGGAATTTAAGTATGTCAAAGTAATGTGTAAAATGTTTTAAAATATAGCTACTTGCATAATACAAGAACCACAGTAAACAGAGGAGTTTTTGTATAGGAATACTGAGGCTTTGCTTTTAAATAGAAAATGAACTATCTGCTGATATAATTGGTGTTTTGGGCAGAGGGGAGTCTTTCAGGTGATGTTTTGGCTATATAACTATTGAAAAATCTAGCCACCTCTAAACTTATTTTGAATATGGCCAACAGAGCTGCAAACATCTACTAGATGCAATTCAACAGAAGCTTTGGATTTTGAATTTTAATTCTACAAGGTAATAAAAAACTTGTATTACTGTTTACTTTAGTAAAAGTTTTTGTGGTGGGTTGACCTTGGCTGGATGCCAGGTGCCCGCCAAGCCACTCTGTCACTCCCTTTGCCAGCTGGACAGGGGAGAGAAAATGGAAAACAACTAGTAGGTTGAGATAAGGCAGTTTACTAAAGCAAAAGTGAAAGTTAATGTGCACACAAAGAAAGAGGAAAACAAAATAGGTTTATTTTCTCCTTCCCATCAGTGACCGATGTTCAGCACCATCCCAGAAGCAGGGCTTCAGCACTTGTAGGGGTTGCTCCAGAAGGCAAACATTTTAAATAATGAATGCCATCCCCTTTCCTCCTCCCTCCCTTAGCTTTTATATCTGAGCTGACATCATATGATATGGGATATCCCTTTGGTCAGTTTGGGTCAGCTGGCCTGGCTGTGTCCCCTCCCAGGATCTTGCCTGTCCCTACCCTACTGATGGGGAGTGGAATGTTGAGACAGTGCTGTTGCTATGCCAGCATTGCTCAGCAGTAACCAAAACACTGGTGTGTAAACAACACTTTACCAGCTCCAAATGCAAAGCACAGCGCTGTGAGGGCTGCTATGGGGAAATGAACTCCAGCTCAGCCAGATCCAATACAATCTTACACATTGGTCTTAGCTTAATAATGCTTTCTTTTAGTTCAGTCTTCCCTCTATATCTGGTTTGTGTTTGATTTTTTTCTTCCTCCTACATGCTACTACTGACCACTATTACCAGTAGTTCAGATGTACAGATGAATGTGCCTTGCAGCTTACAGATCAAACAATTTTGAGACATATATAAATTTTAAAATAATACTGATAATACCATTATTATTATTATAATTTAGAAGACAAAAAGCACAAATATATTTTCCTTTGTAAAGTATATTTTTTATAGTTTTAAATTCATACTGCTATTCTTGTAGTCATTGTGTGTAGAGATTGCAGAATTAAATCAATATTTCCTGGAAAACATAACTGAAATGACAGAGGGTGCTCTGTGGTCCACAGTTTTGGTTAAGAAGATGAGGAAGCTAAAGCTCTCTAGGAAAGAGAGAGAACAGAACAGTTAAGAAATATGTTTTGATGTATGTTATCTGTACTTGACAGAATTTGGATTATCTGAATTTCAGAATTGTATGCCCTATTTCTTATCCAGTGTTCTGTATTTGACTTCCAATTTGAACAGAGAGGAAATGTCAGCACAGCCTGACACAGCAGCATTGGTTACTAATGAGACCTGGTAACTAAATATGGGAGTCCACCTTTTTTTCTTCTAGTAGAAAGCTGAAACAGCCTAAGCTGAAGCAGCAGGTGCTGGTCTTGGGGAGTCTGTGGTGTTTATTATTGTTTTTTAGTGGAGATCTGCTCTGAGTTGAGGGCTCATGTTTGGTTTTATTCAAACCTGTTGGACATAATCTAGAAGCAGAGTAGAAAAAATTTTCTATTTATTATCTATTCTAGTACTTGCTACCTCCCAACTGAAAAACTGTCTGTGTCTTCCTTGGGCGCACTAGCAGTTGAGATCCAGTTTAGGAATTTTGCATGTTACATTTGTTATGTATATTTTGCCTGATTACATGTTTTGTATATACTATTGTTTCAGTTGAATCAAGGAACTGAGATCATAATATGCTAGAAAAAAATACAGTATAAATTCTGTAATACGAGCATTCTTTATAAATCCATCTTAGCGTTATTTTTCTAGACATGTCAGCCCCACAGCAGAAAACCAGAGTAAGGATTTTTGAATCATGTTTTGAAGCTGTTCTTTTATGAGCTTTTGTGTGCTAAAATATGAGTTTAAAAACTTTCAAACAAATTTCAAAGTAGTGTTCTTTGTATAGGTGCATCATGGAATTAGGAGTTAGCTCAGAGCAAAAGTCAGTAAATTTATTTCAGTCTCTAGAGATTGATGATTTTGACTTTTTTTTTTGTTTTGAGATAGAGGTCATGTTTGAACATTTTCTTTTTAATCACTTGCTACTATTTTTTTGCTATTTCTCCTTAATTTCTTCGGCATGTTGCATTCATGTCACAGACCTTCCTTCCCTCTTTTGTAGTATTACACCATCCTGAAATGATGTAGTGTATATAATGTTGAAATATAATGGTGTGGTTCCTGTCTATTGGCGACGGAGAGAGAGGCAGGGAGACTGAGTGGTGGTCAGAATCCGAATTTATTGTGGACTACATATGCTTATATACTATTCTAGGAAGGCTAGTAATGTTTTACTACAATGATTGGGTTAATCATCACATAAACAAACTTATACATTTTTCAATATCTCTTGTTTGTAGAACTTGATTCAATCTTCTTGCTCTGTTTGTTCTTTGCCAAGGCATCCTGATTATCAAAATCTCTTATGCTAATCAGGTCCAAAGTACGTCACCTGTCAGTGAGTGTTTTAATATCCCTAGTGTATAAGTCCTTTTAGTGGCTATAAAAATGCTGCAAAAATGGCTCTCTAAAAGGTATGGCTTTGTACCAGAGCACAATGAATCCCTATGTATTGTAATGAATTTAAAGTATCTTTCCTCCTGATACCCTGGTGATGCCTAAAGAGGCTGACCTAGAACAGAGGCTAGGCAGAGTTAAAGAATAAAGTAGGTATTTATTAAAAGGCCTTAATGGATACACCTTGGGCAGTACCAATAGCCTGGCCAGGGCTGGACCCAAGATGGTCACAAGAGGGATGACCAGTCACAAGTTTTCACTTTTTTATAAGTTTTAGTTCATTTATATTGGGGTTAATTGTCCAATTACAGCTTCAGGTTATAAAGTCCCATCCTCCTGCTTTGCTCTCTTCAATTCACCATCATTTATGCTTTTTGTGCCCGAAGCTGCAACGGTGTCCTTGGTTCTCAGGCTGGGAAAGGATTGTTTTGTCTAACTAAACTGTGAAGAGAACTTGCTAACACTTAATATGAAGTTCAGAGTTACACGCTAAGGCAGTACAGAATCTGAAAAATATGAAAGATAAAACTTAAGGCATCACTGGCAGCTCAAAGTTAAAATGAGGATCATACTGTTTAACTACAACTGCTTGTATAATAAGAAGATTAACATTGTTAATTCCCCTCAGGGAAATGTTCTGCTGCTGCTCTAGATGTCCTGGCTAATGTATTTCGTGATGAACTTCTGCCACACATCTTGCCCCTTTTGAAGGAATTGCTTTTTCATCCTGAATGGGTAGTTAAAGAATCTGGTATCCTTGTTCTTGGAGCAATTGCTGAAGGTAAGGCAACAGTGCATATCAAGTTACTGAATTTGTATTGGTTCTAAAGCAGTTCTGGGTTTCCTTCTAGATTAATTTACTTGTGCAAGCAAGTATACATCCTTAGATGTTTGGTTTTGTTTTTAAGTGATTAATCTCTACATCTACTGGTTGATGACTGCAGTTACTTGTTTAATTTTTCATTTTCAAATCTGTGCATTTTTTTGAGGCTTCAATAACTTTGATAATTTCTTTTATTCCTCCCCTTTTTAACTCTGTAGCATATATTTCTTGGCCTCTCATGAAATATTACCTTGATTTGATACAACAGGAATATTTACATTTCATTCAGTGTTTTCAGAAATGGAGAAGACAAGTCCTATGACTTCAGTGCCCCGAGCTGCTTTTTGTGGATGGCTCACTGATTTAAATGTGTTAACTTCCATTTCTTTGTATTTACTTACAGTCTTGGCTTTTTGCCTATATTTCCATAATCTCTGTCCATTTTGGAAATTGAAGAAATATGTTTGGGTCCATGCCTGGATTATCTATCTTTTTTGACAGTGCCTAGTGAGCATATATTTTCTTTGTTGCTAGCAAGCATTTTTGTTGGTTTTGATTTCAAGTTAAGCAAGGTAAAAGTTAGTACTTCTTGCAAATCTCAGTGTATTACTGCCCTTGCTGACTCGAAGTGTGCAGCTTTTGTTGTTGGTCAGTATTTGTGTTATATTAGGAGAAAGCAAGAAGAAAATTTAATTTTTTAAGAAATCTTTTTTAGTGATATGGTGATTAGTTATCAAGGCGTAATCTTTCTCTGCTTGTTGTCTTGGTCACTCTGAATAGACCGGCATAAGACTTCCAAGCTTTGTAAACCAATTTTATTTGGATGTTCTTGCTATACTCCCTTTAATAAAGCAAAATTTATGGAGATTGGGGAAGCACTGAAGTAGAAATGTAGTTGGAATGAATGTAAATTTGATTGAGGATTTTAATTACTGTTTATGGTGTGGTTTCATTTTAGGACTTAACATAAATTAGGTAGACTTGCTTTGTATATTGGTAAAATGTATTACTACATGATAGAGGAAGAAAATATATCCCTTCTAGGAAATAACAAAAAGCTCTATTGTGTTTTGTAATTCTCATACTGTAATAGCTATATTTTTCCTTCTAGGCTGCATGCAGGGTATGATTCCATATCTTCCTGAGCTGATCCCTCACCTTATTCAGTGCCTCTCTAATAAAAAGGCTCTTGTGCGCTCCATCACTTGCTGGACTCTTAGTCGCTATGCACACTGGGTAGTTAGTCAACCCCCAGACACATACTTGAAGCCATTAATGACCGAGTTGCTAAAGCGCATTCTGGATAGCAACAAGAGAGTACAAGAAGCTGCCTGCAGGTGAGTCAAAGCTTAAACAAAAAGTACTATCCATGACACTGCTTTTTCATGGGAAAATATTTTAATGCCTTAATTGATTATTCTATAACTCCATTTCTAGCTCCTAATGGGGTTTTTTTCCTTTTAAATTGGGGTGGGTTCAGCTTCTTCTGAAATCATCACAACTGAGTTGTGGTAAAACAAAACCAGATAATTTGTCTTTCTCTTGTCTAGTTTGTTTTTAGAATATATGAAAAGCAAACTAAACAATCCATTGCTGTAAAAGAAATTATCTGTATGTCACACCTGTTTATTTCAATATTTGAAATTTTATTGACCAAGAATCTGGCTTTTATAGGCCTATGAACAAGGTCAATATGGGAAAACTATCCTATCATTGCATTAGCAATGTTTATATTTAGCTCAGGATTACCAAAAAATTTGACTTACAACTATTTCAAGGGATATTCCCTTTCTCTTGAAAGGAGATCCTTGGAGGTAAGATTCCCTTCTGTCCCTTGTCTGCTGATATTTAAAAAAAAAAAGAATAGACACACCATTAATGGAATGGGTATACCACTTGTGCAGGAAGCTCAGCAAATAAAGCTTTTACATGTCAGTTTGTGTAGGGCAGGAGTACACAGCAGTCTGCCAAGAAAGTTCCTTCATAAAGCAGGATTAGATCTGTAACATGTATACATAAAAGGTTTTTAACAGAATATTTTAAAATTTTGCTCATCAGAGTTTAAGAGCTGAATCTTTGTGTTCAATCAAAATAGATTGAGTTTGTCTCAATAATACAATTGTGAAAACATACCTTGGATGAATTTAAAGACTAAATACAGTTCTATGTTTAAACAGGAATGGGTAGTTTAGGGCATTTTGGGGTGGTCTTGTTTTGTTTTTTACAAGATACTGACTGACATATTTGGGGTGGGTTTTTTTTGTCCATCAGTGCCTTTGCTACTCTAGAAGAGGAGGCTTGTACAGAGCTTGTTCCTTATCTTGCATATATACTTGACACTTTGGTCTTCGCATTTAGTAAATACCAGCATAAAAACCTGCTCATTCTTTATGATGCTATAGGAACTCTAGCAGATTCTGTAGGACATCATCTAAATAAACCTGTGAGTATACCTTATGTTCATTAGAAAAGCTCATCATATATTGAAAAACTGTGAAATGGGATTTTAAAGAAATTGGTAGAATGTGTGTGCTAATTTCTAATGACTTTTTTGTTGTTTGTAACCACTTTCGGTATAGCTAAGCTGCTCTGTCTTTCCAATGCATCAAAGCACATCATCATTAGGGATTGCTTTATCCAAGAGTGGGATAGATGTGCATTTTATATCTAAAAACACAGAATCCTTTGAGTAAATCACAGAGAGCACAGGCAAGTGTAGTGGGGTTTTTGTAGTATACATGTTCATTAATAGGATATACATATATGTCACATGCATGCTGTTGAAATTTGGTTTATTTCTCTATAGTGCTTCACATGACATAGACAAACTAGAATAAAACAATTCGGGTTGTTGCCATGGCATTTTATTTGCCATTCAAGACTCCACACTATCAAAGGACATATTTTCCAATCTCTCTCTGGCCCTGGCCAGCTTGACTTTTGACAGCACCAGGAGGAAGCTAAATGGGAGCTCCTGGTAATGGTGGGACTTTCTTCAGTCGCTTAAAATATTGTATCTTTGGACATAGCATTAGCTGGCAGCATCTGTTGTCTCTTTGGATACTTTCTGGGAGCAACAGTACTACAGGGATGCCTTGCTTAATGTCCTTGTGACTGTGACAGCAGTGGCCGAGAAGATGCAACATTTTATACAGAATTGGTAAGTGCGCATTTCTGGAGGGATAGAAAATTACTTTCTTCATGGATGAATAATTGAATGAGGAACAGGTTTCAGGAACTTCTGGGGATAGAGTTGTAGCATCAGGGCAATGGAAGATGATTGAGAAAAGCAGGTGGCAGATGTACAACCAGATTGTATTGCTGGTGAAAACATTTTCTGTAGCCCCTGAGTCAATCCTATAGATATGTAACAACCCAGGCAGCTACTAAAAGTTGCTAGACTGAAGCCAAACCTGGAGGAAAAGATTTGTTTTGCAAAGGTACTTATGTGCCTCAGCAAAAAATCTTATGACATAAAATTTAAGTTCTAATATTCAACTACTTCTATATATTTCAACAATGGTTAAATTACAGTGTATATATATATTTTTTTTTTCTCCTGAAAAAGTAGAATATATTCATTTTCTAGCTTTGAAATAAACTAGTATGCAATTGAGTGCTTCAGTAGCTGATGCATTTTCATCTTAAACAGGAATATATTCAGATGCTAATGCCTCCATTAATCCAGAAGTGGAACATGTTGAAGGATGAAGATAAAGATCTCTTCCCTTTATTGGAGGTAAATGTTAAAATTTGAATATGTGTCTTTTGGGAATTGCCTCTTTTACTAAGGATGTTCCTACTAGGAAGTGTGACTATAAATGCTGTCAGTGTTAGGTATTTCCCATTATGGAGAAAATATTATGACAATAGTGAGAAATTTTTTTAACTGAGGAAATGTTATTAAGTTTAGCAGAAATCTTTTAGAATTATTTTTTTCCCTGCCATTCTTAGGTGTTTTCTTTGGGATTCTTTGTTTTTAAAAAATTGTTCCATCCCTGTTGTTCTTGTCTTCTCTCCCTGCTTTCCCTTCTTCCCTTCATTAAAAAAATTACCAACAGGCTGAAGGTATGAACCAGACAATGTAGTCTGTTCTCTGTGCATTCCAAGTGTGAAGCAGGAAAACACTTCTAGAGAAATTAGTTTCATAACTCTTGGGTAATGTTAGGGCTTGTACATTGTCAGCATAGTGAAGTTTAGTGTAAATGCTAGCTGAATTATAGTAATTGTCTTCATATGAACTGTCTTGGCACCTTGAAGAAGATGCTGCTCCTGAGAAATTTTCTCAACTGACATACATAGGAGAGAATAACAATTAGCTGAGAGTTGCCTTGGCTCAGCTAATCAGTACAACCTTTCCAGGTTGTTTTTACTTAAACAGTTACTTGTGGGTATACTTAAAATTATTTTAATTTACTACACACAAGTAAAGGGTACTTGGGGGAGGTGAAGAAAGTTAGTGTCTCTCACTTTTTTTCCTTCTTCTTTATTTTATTCCAGTGCCTGTCGTCAGTTGCTACAGTCAGTTGCTACTGCCTTGCAATCTGGATTTCTTCCATACTGTGAGCCTGTGTACCAGCGTTGTGTCAATCTGGTGCAGAAGACTCTTGCACAAGCCATGGTATTTTTCTATTGCTATTCCAATGTTTTCAGAATATTTCCTTAAACCAATGTATTAACTATGTAAAGTTAGGGGTTTGCAGAGAGATTTGTAGTATTAATTATTGAATATTTAAATGAAGCTGCAGTTCTGAAACTTGTTTTTACTTTTATGCATGCCCCTGAGAAAATCTAATACTCATTTTGAAAATGCATAATTATTTGTTACAGTTGCACAATGCTCAGCCAGACCAATATGAGGCTCCAGATAAAGATTTCAGGAGGCAACATTGAACAGCTAGTGGCTTGCAGCAATATCCTGACACTAATGTACCAATGTATGCAGGTGAGATGAGTAATCTGTTTAATCCAAGAATTTTCTTTCTAAAGAGAATCAGAAACACTTCTAGAATTGTCAGGTTTTTTTCTTCCTCCTTTTAGGATAAAATGCCTGAGGTGCGGCAGAGTTCTTTTGCATTGTTAGGTGATCTCACAAAGGCGTGTTTTCAGCATGTTAAGCCTTGCATCGGTATGTTTCTTTTGCATATTAAATAATTAATTTGTTTTACAAACTGATAGGAGGATGGTTTAGCCATTGTTAAGTTCCCTTTTCTGTGGGTTACCTTGTCATGGTGTAGATTTTAGTTTTCCTTTATCAGCAAGGGTCTGTAGTCTTTTCTCCTTTAAACTGTGTGTTTTAAGATGTGTTGTTCTTTTTGTAGACAGTGCAAAAATTAACTTTGTTGCTTGATTTTTATAATGTAACATGCTTCCTGTTTTGCTGGATTACAGAAAAACAGATGTACTTAGACTTCCATTAGAACAGTTGCTTTGTAGGTTTTTTACTCTACTAGAATCTATGAATACTTGGATAGGCTTGAAATTTTAATTTTAGTGAAATATTAGTCACAAAGATTGATTAAAATGACAGATGTTATAATCTAAGCTGGGATTTGCTTTCTAGGCTTCATTGTTGTTGGCTGTTGCGGTTTTTAGGGGGGCTTGGTGTTGTGTTTGATGGTTTTCTGTTTTTGTTGCTGAAGGGGGTGTTTGTTTTGGAGAGAGGTGTTTGGTAATTTTTTTTTAGCACAGCTGAATACATAGCTATCCAGGTGTGCTTTTCTTTCCCTACTCCTGGGAAGGGGATAAAAAAGGTTTCTAGAGTTACATCAATGTAAAATCTATTAGAAATATTTTTAAATCATAGTTTGAAAGGATTTGCATTGATCTGCTTAGGTTGCATCATCCAGATTAATCTGATATATAGCAAAAATACAGCTCTTGTTAATTCAAGTGTAATGCTTTACAAGAATTTAAATACACTTCTATGATTTTTTTTTAACTCCCTCTTCTTGTGATCTTACAGTAATAGAACAAGATGGTTGCTTGTATTGTGTGGTGAGATTTTAAAATGTTGTTCTTTCTAGCTGATTTCATGCCCATTTTGGGAACAAACTTAAACCCTGAATTCATTTCTGTGTGTAACAATGCCACCTGGGCTATTGGAGAAATCTCCATCCAAATGGGTAAGATTTTTTTTCTTGGAATATTTGCATATTTAGAACGGTTTGTTTGGGTTGTGGATTGTTTTTTATTTCTAGTGATGCTTTCATGTTAAAAATTTAAATTCAGTTTTACATCCTTGTCTTTGACAGTAAGTTCAATGTACCAGATCTAAATAGATTATATATATTAATGGTCATTTTCTTCTGAATGTTTTTTTTTGGCTGTTTCAGGTATAGAGATGCAGCATTATATTCCAATGGTGTTGCACCAGCTTGTAGAAATAATTAACAGACCCAACACACCAAAGACATTGTTAGAGAACACAGGTATCCAAAAACTGAATCATTTATGGTTAAGGGAATTAATTTTTTTTCTACAATGATTAAAAAAAATTGAATAGAACTTATTTTATTGCTATATATTTGGCTTTTATAAGCAAAAAAACAACTGTTTTGGAGAAACTCTTACAAGTCTCAGTCTTGCAGAAAAACATCTATCATATATCTAGATTATTAAAGTTATTGCTTTCTCACCTTTATAACATTTTATATTTATTTATCATCTATTTAAGTATTCTTCCAATTTTATTTATGTATACAATATGACAGATGTATGCAGTAACACTTAAAGACTTAGTGGCCTTACACTGATTTTAATATATGCATGTCCTTTCATGTGTACTGTATGTACATGTTTAGTGTTTGAAACAAATATAATTGGCATATATATAACAAATAATGAACTCTTTGAATTTACAATAATGCACTTTTTTAAAAACATTAATTTGTAGTAATATGCACAAAAATCTAGATCTGTGATGGCAGTTTTACCACAACATAACTGAAATTATGTATAATTTCTATTACCTGGTCACTTAATAAAAAATTTCTGAAATGAAGTCTTAACAGTGGCATGTATGTTTCTATGTTCTGGCCAGCTGCTTTGCCTTCCAAATTGGAAGCAGTCCCCAAATGCCTTATTGAACTGAAATTTCTGAGGCTTGTTTTTTTCATTTATAGAGGGCATGTTCTGGTATGAGGCGCACCTTCCATACTTCAGCAAAACTTTATTAATAATTTAACAGGTTTCATGTTTACTATTTTACTAATTGAGAATATTTTGATTTTTTTTTCTGTTTGAAAACTGTCTTGTAAGAAATATGATAGCTTAGTCATTATACTGAACATAATTGAAAATTATGGAAATTCTGTGCTAGTTACATTTGAGCTTGACCTAAGTATGAGATAAATTGGGATTTCTTTCTATGCATATTTTTCCTTCAGTATTCTCCACACCCCCATCCCCTCATTTAGTGTGGAAGGTGAACTTGAAGGAAAAATTGCCTAGTTGTCTGGCATATTATAGGTACTGCTTTTTGAAAAGATAATTTTCATGCTAATTGCTTGTTATGAAATGCACCATGGAATAGTATAGCAATATAAATTTTCTTACCCCTTGCCCCCAACCCCCTTTGTCTGTATTGATGGAGATGTAATATCTGTATCTGAGAAACATCCAGTACCTAAAAGTTTGCTTCCATCACTGGTAGAGAATTTTTTTAGGCATCCAAACACTGAAATTTTTTAGTATCTTAATAGTTACTTTAAATGCAGATGCAAAACTCTAAATAAATGTTGAGTGTGATGTAATGATAAGTTTCTTGTGGGATATTGTGCTACATGCCATTGGTATGTGCAAGAGTATTAATATTTTCTACTCTAGGTCATTATGTAATGAGCTATGAAAACACTTCTGTTATGGAAACATATGAGATCAGCTTAAGTAAAATAGTTGCATAGAAAATAATGAGTACATTCCAAAAAGTTACACTTTGACAGAAATTACTATTCCTCATACAGACTCTAGCTGTGAGAATTTACAGATAAACCTTAAAAGTGCACTTTCATTTGAAAGTATCACTTCAAATGTAGTTTTGTGTTAGATCTGCTGAAAATTTGAAATCAAATTATGTCTGGGCAAAATAGTACATTACCAGTGAGATGTAGCTTTCATGGAATGGGTACATTTAAAACTGCTAGTGTATCCTACACTAAACTTTTATTGGAGAAAACATCATCTGCTTTATTGCATGTATCATGAAACTGTTCACAAATGCCTGTTAATTAGTGTTGCATAGTATGTCCCTTGAACATAGGTTTCTTTGCTTCATATAAATCTGCTGGATTTTAGTATTATTCATGTATTTTGCTTCAAGTAATCCTGATACATTATTTCCCACCTTCTCTTTTTTCTGAAGATTAATCTTTTGTGAGTTGAGCAAACACCATTAAAACACACTTGCATGATGATATTATCTTCAGTCTGGCCCTCAGAACAAAGGACCACAATACCTAATCATTCAGAGAAGCAGTTTTACTTTTTTTTTTTTTGTCTTTATGCTTTTGTATCAAAAGTCAGAATATTATTCAACTTTTATGAGGAAGTTTTTCTAAACAGGAAAAATATTTGGATTAAAAAATTAATTTTATCCAGTCACTTGCTGTGAGCTAGCAACCACTTTAATTTTTCTACAAGATTATGAAGAAAGCAAATATTTGGGTCTCTTTGAGAGTATTTAATCTATTTAGTGTTTATTAGATAGACCACAATGTATTCTGCATAAAAGTGTTTATAAATGTATTTTTACTGATAGTAGGCCTATCAAAATCTTGAATTCTAAATATTGAAAAAATAAAATATTTAGGACTACTTGATACTAAAACTGAAAATGGTTAATTCCTTTCTATAAATAGTATTCATAATAGTACTTTTTAATAAAAACTTTGAAGTGTATAGTAGGTAAATTTACTGTAAGAGGTGATTCTGAAGAGAGCAGAATGACTACTTGCATCAGAAAGCCTTTGTATTTCAAATTGTGTTTTTTGGTGTTCTCTCATTTACTTCTTTAGTTTTTCTTTTACCCTGGAGACTATACCATATATGTTGCTGCCTCTTATTCAAGGGGTTGTAATAAACAGCACTGGTGAAATCTTATGTTTACTATCATATACAGATTCTGTTGGCTTCTGTTTCTGAGTTATTTGTTGTTTTTTCTTTATTTTTTCTCCTCCCCCCTCATTTGCTCATGTCTTGGTTGGCGTTTGGTGGTGTATAACCGTGATTGCATTACCTTAGCAATAACAATTGGTCGTCTTGGTTACGTTTGTCCTCAAGAGGTGGCCCCCATGCTACAGCAGTTTATAAGACCCTGGTGTGTATTATTCAATTTTTTTTTTTTTAATTCATTTTTCTTCACTTTCTTTCTTTCTTTCTTTCTTCTATCTCACTTTTAGATATATTTTCAGTTGGTTACAAAATCTCAATCCTTAATCATTGCCAACCATGTGACTAATCTTGTCCTATCAGGTTTGTGAGTTTTTAGTAGCACTGTCATGTATTCTTTATGTTGTGGCTAACGACTAATTTATGCATGGGATAAGATTGTCACATGCTTGCGTGTTAAAGCTTGACTATGAAAGAGCATTTTAAAATCCACGAGAATGATAATACAATGCATGCAAATACTCTAAAATTTAAACTGTGCATTACTTTACTTAAAATTCAGTCTGAGGCTTGAATTGCTGTAAGTAATCTATTTCTATACTCATTATGTATAAAATAGCTTGCTTGCTGCTGTAAAGGTTAAATAATTGTTCTTTAAGTGATATCTGACATAATTCATATTGCAATAGCATTATATGTTCTGCTTCTAATAATGATAGTTTCTATAATTATTTTTTATATGTGTTTCTTTTGTATTTAATGGAATACAGGTCACACTTTCTAACTATATAGTGTAACAGGAAAGCAAGATTCTGTAGATGATACCTAATGGGAATATACTAGTAAATACTGTGTGCAACAAGTATCTAAGTGTTCAAAATAGTGTTTCAGATAATCTTATCAGTGTGACTTATTCCATCAAATGCTGTCATCTAGTCCTGACTTGATTGAATCAAAAAGTAATAGAATTAGTTAAGTTTTGCTCTCCAACTTACTAGGTGCACTTCTCTGCGAAATATAAGAGACAATGAGGAAAAGGATTCAGCGTTCCGTGGGATATGTACCATGATTACGGTCAACCCCAGTGGAGTAGTCCAAGTAAGATACATAAATAGATCTTAACTTCTTTTTTCTTTGCTCATGTGAAATTTAGTGAAAGCTGTATATGTAGTATGAAAAATATTTAGCTTGATGTCGATTCCCAGTAGTATGTGCTGTAACTTATTTTAGACATCAAGGAGACCAAAATGTTTATATTTCAAATTATACATATCATGATACTTCAGGATTTCTGCTTCAGTAATTATCACTTATGGAAAGGAAGACAGCATTGTAAAATTCATTTTTTGTTTTTTACTTACAAGGAATATGTCAATAATGAACTTTGATTAACTGTATTTTGATACTTCTATCAGTCTTTTTTATGTTGATGATATGTATGAAAATACAAGACAAAAGCTGACATATTGAAACCTATTTTTCAGATACAATCTAGGCTTTTAAAAAAGAAACAGAACAAACACAATAACCACCCCTTCATTCTTAAAACTTGGTCAGGGAAGATTCTCTTTCAGCTTTGGATATATTGCTTAAATAGTCAACATGACAAGGAAGATGCATCCCTTTAAAATAAATTGTACATCTCAAGAATAGAATATGATTTGCTCTTTAGTCTGTGCAGCTCCAAGGTAAAGCTGTATGAAGGTAATATTTTCTAAGAGGAAAATAAAGGTGAATTTCCCTCTCCTCTGCCTGGAACCCTTCTCCCTGAAATGCAAAAATTGAACCTTTATCTTGTTTTGAATTTTTCAGTTAATTTCATGTATCCCTTATCTTGTACTTAGCATTTTCCTCTTCTGCTGTCTGTTTGTTCTTTCACATAGCTTAAACGGAAGGAGCAATTAAGGACTCTCTTCATTATCCAAGCTCTCCTCCTATGTAGTTGTTATCCTCAGTTCCTATCCAAAAACATGCATTATCAACTTAATCATTAAGACTGATGTTTTAATGGTATAGTAGGAGGTAATGCAAAATAGTGATTTTGGGGTGGCTTTAGTTTTGAACATGTGCGCATTCTATGTATCCCAGAAACAGCTTCTGGCTCTGCTTAAAAAAATACAGCAGCTTTTTTCCCAACTGAAAATACATGAGAGTAAGTTGCGAGTGTGATCCCAAGTTTGTTGATTGTTATTGAGATGATTGGTTCTCAAACTTATAATGTGTACTGAAAGGATTAGTTAGATAAGTGTGGTGTGGGAGGGGAGGAGGTGTTTGTTTGTTTGGGGTGTTTTTAATTGTGGTTCAATTTAATAAAAAATCCTATTAAACAAAGGTATTCCTACACTCGGCTATTTCTATTTCCATATACTTAAACATACAATAGTTTGCCATTATTGTCTGAATTAACTAGACAATAAAGGCATAAAACGAAAAGTAGTTGTGACTTAGGATCAGGTACCCTGCATAGTTCATAGAACAAACATTGAACATTGTTTTCAGACCTATAAATGTGAGGTTCCTAACCTATGTGATTGTTTAATCTTATAGGACTTTATTTTTTTTTGTGATGCTGTTGCATCGTGGATTAACCCAAAAGATGATCTCCGAGACATGTTCTGTAAGGTAATGTTTCTAGTATGACAGTATATCTGAACTGTGGTTGTTTTTAGATCAGTTTTTTTTTATTTCCATTATTAACACTTACTGTATTTGTGATCATGAAGGCTTTCTTGCAAAGTCATAAACTTTCAAACAAAACATCAAAAAAATCTGATTTTTTTAACCTATATTTTTATAATGTCCAGCCTACTATGGTTTGGCTGCATTTGGAAGAACAGGGGGTTTTATACCACATAGAAAACTTTTTTCCCCCTTTTTTTCCTTTTCTAGAAAATGAGATCTGTGTGGTTTAAGATCCATCCCCTCCCCCCAAGAAGAATTTTTTTTTTTTTTAAATATCTAGAAAATTGAAAATGGAAAATCTCCCAGTAGTATCCTGATCTGTTTATCTTGCTCCAGCTGAAAATATGTTTTTGGGACTGCTTAACCCTCCTCAGAATTCCTCTTGGATAAGCAAGTCTTCAAGAAACTTATGTACAGAGATAGCCAAGAATGCATCCCTAGACAAAGTGTCAATAGAATTTAATCAAAAGGACTGTTTGCCTTGTGTGAAATAAATAAAACACACACAGAGACAGAAAATAGTATATTGTGTTTATGCACTAGTGTCTTCAGTTAAAAAACAGAACAAAATAAACCTATTTCAGTTTCGTGCACAGATGCTGTTATTGTTCAGTAGTGTGGCTTTTCTTGTATGTTGTAAAGTGAAATCTCTAGTTTTAGGAAGGATGTATGTCAAAAGTTAATGATCCTCTTAAAGATAAAATGGAACATATTTCTAAGTACATACTTGAATTGTCGGCCAATATTGGCACTTCCTCTTCAAGTAATGCCAAGTGAGTGCATCAGAATGGACTAGAACATTGGAATCTTGAGTATCAAAGACAAAAAAATCTCACTGTCCTAGTTAGAAGACCAAATATCTGAGAAGTTTCAAAGGAATATCAGGGTCAGGAAATGCATGGCTGTGAGTATTCTAGCATCAGCCTAAGGAAACAGAAATACAAGCTTAAAAGAAAGTCCAGGATGCTGTCTGTGATGGTTGTCCAAAGCAGTCTCAGTACATGTTTCTGTCCTGGTCCTTCAGCATTCAATACTTACTTCAATAAGCTATGCTCCTCTTCTTCAGATTCTTTCCAGGATATCCACATGGGATCTAATGCGTTCAAAGTAAACACAGTGTTTCTTGGTCAAGTGGCATAAGGACATCCTTGCTTTTTAAAGTGTATTTTTTGTGGTTTTTGCCAAGCAAGGACAGAGACAAAGCTTTCTTCAAGTGATGGCATACAAATTTTTTAGATTACTTCCTCATTGGAATGAGTTTTTATGTTAGTTGAATACATGATTATTGTAGTCCAGTTACATATTTTCCAATTATAATTATGCATTTTAGAAATAATGAGAAAAAATTTTGTAGTCCCCCAAGGTCTTTCTCTTGATAGTGGATAGTGTTTGGGGGGGTGGGTTGTTTGGTTTGTTGGTTTTGGAGCACTAGAGCTAAGAGAGAAAATACTCCTTCCAAGAGCAAAGGTGCATGAGCTGCCAGTGTTGAGATCTGATATATGCTCTAATTGTATCATGTTTTATAAAAGCAAGATATCTGAATACTGTAACTGAAGCTCAATTGCTAAAGTTGTCCTGTAAGACAATTTTTTAAAAGTGCTCCTTTTGTTGTACCTGAACATTCTTAGATTTTTTTTGGTAGTTTCTTGGCAGCTGGCAAATCAGACTCTTTGGGTTAGGAAAGAGAGGTGAATCTGTCTGTGGAAGGTCTCTTTCAGGGAGAAAAGCAGAAAATTAACTTGTGACACTGTAATATTATTGCTACATGCTGTTTAAAAACAGCTCTGCTTGAGAAAGTTGTGTTGAGGGTAAACTCAGTATCATGAGCTTTGACATTACCTTTTTTGTGAGGATATTTTCATGATAGACTGTTCCACAATTATGTGCCCTTGAGTTTAGAAAAGAAAAACAAACCAAAACTTTAGAGACTGCATTATTTTCTATTAAGAGGAGCTAAAATACTAAGACCTTTTTGACAGTGTCATTCAATTTTTGTAGCTTTCAGTTAATTTATTCCATTGGAGGGTCCAGACTGAAACCTGTAGATTTGATATTTTTTTTGTTTCCCTCTTATGTTGTGGATCCCTGTTCTTTCAAAACACAAAAGATTTTAATAGCTTCCTTTTTAATAACAGTTTTCTACAGGTTCCATGGAAAAAAACACAGCTCTCACAGGATACTTTTGTTTTTTGCAAGAAATTGACAGGCATTCATTCTGTCAAATGCTGACAGTGGTTCTGGCTCAGCTTTCCTCCCAGAACATATTATAGGTTTTAAAAAATGAATGTGAATGCAGTAATCTTAAGATATAAACTGTGTCAATTGACAAAATGTTTAGCCTAACTCTAGGCTGTCACCATAGTCATTAAAACTACATACACACACATATGTATATTTATATTTATATAGAATATATATTTATATAATTTATGCTAATCTGTGTGCTTAGCGATATTGTATATGTCACCCTTAACTGAAATGTTGGGTTTTTTTTCCTTTAAGAAAGACATTAGAATCATAGAATCACAAAAAGGTTTGGGTTGGAAGGGACCTTTAAGATCATCTAGTTCCAATCCACAGCCAGAAACACCTTTCACTAGACCAGGTTGCTCAATGCTCCATCCAACCTGGCCTTGAACACCTCCAGGGATAGGGAGTTCTCAGCCTCTCTGGGGAACCTGTTCCAGTGTCTTATCACCTTCACAGCATCTAATCTAAACCTGCTCTCTTTCAATTTGAAGTCATTCCCCCTTGTCCTATCACTCCATGCCCTTGTGAAAAGTCCCTCCCCAGCTCTTATAAGCTCCCTTTAGGTACTGGGAGGTGCTCTAAGGTCTCCTTGAAGCCTTCAGTTCTCCAGGCTGAATAACCCCAACTCTCTCAGCCTGTCTTCATAGAAGAGGGGCTCCAGCCCTCTGATCAGCTTAGTGGCTTCCTCTGGACTCGCTCCAACAGGTAGACATCTTTCTTGTGTTGAGGACCCCATAGCTGCATGCAATACTCAGGTGGGGTCTCAGGAGAGTGGAGTAGAAGGGGAGAATCCTCTCTCTCCACCTGCTGGCCATGCTGCTTTGGATGCAGCCCAGGATAGAGTTGGTATCTGGGCTGCAAGTACGTATTGCTGAGTCATGTCAAGCTTTTTGTCCACAAACACAACTTGTATAAAGTCCCTCTCTATCTTTCTTCAGGTACCAGAAGGCTGCAATTAGGTCACCCCAAAGCCTTCTATTTTTCAGGCTGAACAACCCCAGCTCTTTCAGCACGTCTTTGTAGGAGAGGTGCTCCGTCCCTCTCATCATCTTGATGGCCTCCTCTGGACTTGCTCCAACAGGTCCATGTCCTTCCTGTGCTGGGGACCCCAGAGTTGGATGCAATACTCCAGGTGGGGTCTCACCAGAGCAGAGGGGCAGAATCCCTACCCTTGACCTGCTGGTCACACCTCTTAATGTAGCCCAGAATACAATTGGCTTTCTGTGCTGCAAGCACACATTGCCAGTTCATGTCCAGCCTTTCATCCAACAGCACCCCCAAGTCCTTCTTAGCAGGGCTGCTCTCAATCCATTCATCCCCCAGCCTGTGTTGATACCAGGGGTTGACCTGACCCAGGTGCAGCACCAGCACTTGTTCTTGTTAAACTTCATGTGATTCCCATGGGCAATGGGACTTAGACTTGTTGAATTTCATGAGGCTCACACAGACCCACCTCTCAAGCCTCTCCAGGTCCCTCTGGATGCCATCCCTTTCCTCCAGTGTGTCTACCCCACCACACAGCTTGGTGTCATTGGCAAACTTGCTGAGGGTGCACTCAATTCCACTGTCCATGTCACTGACACAGATGTTAAACAGTGCTGGTCCCAACACTGACTCCAGAGGAATACTCCAGGTGGGGTCTCACCAGAGCAGAGGGGCAGAATCCCTACCCTTGACCTGCTGGTCACACCTCTTAATGTAGCCCAGAATACAATTGGCTTTCTGTGCTGCAAGCACACATTGCCAGTTCATGTCCAGCCTTTCATCCAACAGCACCCCCAAGTCCTTCTTAGCAGGGCTGCTCTCAATCCATTCATCCCCCAGCCTGTGTTGATACCAGGGGTTGACCTGACCCAGGTGCAGCACCAGCACTTGTTCTTGTTAAACTTCATGTGATTCCCATGGGCAATGGGACTTAGACTTGTTGAATTTCATGAGGCTCACACAGACCCACCTCTCAAGCCTCTCCAGGTCCCTCTGGATGCCATCCCTTTCCTCCAGTGTGTCTACCCCACCACACAGCTTGGTGTCATTGGCAAACTTGCTGAGGGTGCACTCAATTCCACTGTCCATGTCACTGACACAGATGTTAAACAGTGCTGGTCCCAACACTGACTCCAGAGGACACCACTTGTCACTGGTTTCCACTTGGACATTGAGCTGTTGACCATACTTTGAGTGTGACCATCCAGCCAATTCCTTATACACTGAGTGGTCCACCCATCAAATCCACATCTCTTCAGTTTAGAGCCCAAAATGTCATGTGGGATAGTGTCAAATGCTTTGCACAAGTCCAGGTAGATGATGTCAGTTGCTCTTGCCTCATCCACCACTACTGTGACCTCATCATATAAGGCCGTTTTTTAGGCTTGTTTTGCCTTTGGTGAAGCCATGGTGGCTGTCAGCAATCAGCACCTTGTTTTTCATGTGCCTTAGCATAGTTTCCAGGAGGATCTGCTCCATGACCCTGCCTGGCACTGAGGTGAGGCTGACTGGCCTGTAGTTCCCTGGGACCTCCTTATTTCCCTTTTTTAAAATGTGGTTTATGTGTCCCCTATTCCAGTCAGGGGAAACTTTGCTGGACTGCCATGACTTCTTAAGTATGATGGATATCCTTGGCCAGTTCCCTCAGGACCAGTGGATGTATCTTGTCAGGTCCCATGGACTTGTGCACCTTCAGGTACCCTAAATGGTTTCAAACCCGGTCTCAGTCCCTGCTTTCATCTTCTGCAACTTGAACAGTGTATCTGGAACACTTGTTGGTGAAGACTGAGGCAAAAAAATCATTGAGTACCTCAGCCTTCTCCATGTCCTGGGTAACCAGGTCTCCCATATCCTTCCTGAGAGGACCCACATTTTCCCCGGTTTTTCCTTTATCTCTGATGTACCTAAAGAAGCTTTTTTTCTTACCCTTGATGTCCTTGGCCAGGTTTAATTCTATCAGGGCTTTAGCTATCCTAACCTGATCCCTTACTGTTTGGACAATCTCTCTGTATTCCTCCCAGGCTACCTTTCCCTGCTTCCACCCTCTGTAAGCTACCTGTTTGTGTTTAAGTTTGTCCAGGAGCTCCTTGTTCATCCACACAGGTGTTCTTCCCTGATTTCCTCTGTTGGAATACACTGCTCTTGAGTCTGGAGGAAACAATCCTTGAATATCATCCAGCTCTTTTGGGCCCCTCTTCCCTCCAGGGCTCTATCCCACAGCACTCTATCAAGCAGATCCCTGAAGAGGCCAAAGTCAGCTCTCCTGAAATCCAGGGCAGTGAGCTTGTTGTGCACCCTCCTTGCTGCCTCAAGGATCTTAAACTCCACCATTCCATGGTTACTGCAGCCAAGGCTGCCCCTGAGCTTCACATTCCCCACCGGCCCCTCCTTATTGGTGAGAACAAGGTCCAGCATAGCACCTCTACTCATGGACTCCTCTTTCACTTGGAGAAGGAAGTTGTCATCAGCACATTCCAGGAACCCTATGGATTGCCTGTGCCCTGCTGCGTCATCCCTCCAACAGATGTCAGGGTGGTTGAAGTCCCCCATGAGGACCAGGGCTTGTGAACGTGAGACCACTCCTATCTGTCTGCAAAAATCTCATTAGCTCAGTCTTCCTGGTTGAGTGGCCTGTAGCAGACCCCCACTATAATGTCACTTGTCCTTGCCCTCCCTTTAATCCTGATTCACAAACTCTCAGTCAACTCCTCATCCATCGCCAGGCAGAGCTCCATGCACTCTAGATAGTCATTGACATAGAGGGCAACATACTCTCCTCATCTCCCCTGGGCTATCCTTCCTAAAGAGCCTGTATCCTTCCATTCCAGCACTCCAGTCATAGGAATCATCCCACCATGTCTCTGTGATGCCAATAAGATTATAGTCTTTCTCCTCCTGTTTGTTCCCCATTCTGCGTGCATTGGCATAGAGGCATTTATGTTGGGCCCCAGATGAAGCTGTCTTTCTGTCTGGAGTGGCTGTAATTCCTTTGTGCTGCCCTTCAGGTTCTCTCCTGGCTCTGGGCAACTCTTGCTGGCTCCGGCATCTATCTACTATGAGTGAGATAGCATGCCATCCCACACCTTATCACTGTTAAACCTGATGATGTCCCCCTCCCCCATCATATCTAGGTTAAAGCCCTGTCAATAAGCTCTGCTAGCTCTTGACCCAAGACCTTCTTCCTCCTTTGAGAAAGATGAATCTCATATGAATCCAGCAAGCCTGGTGCCATGTAGGCCATCCCATTATCAAAGAAACCAAAATTTTGGCAGTAACACCAGTCACGGAGCCATGCCTTAGCTGGCGTCCATCTGTTTTTTTCAGTGTTACTGCCTGCACCTAGAAGAACAGAGGAAAAAATAACCTGTGCTCCTCCTTCCCTCACTAACCCTCCCAAGGGTTTAAAGTCTCTTTTGATCACCCTTGAACTACGCTTTGTGATTTCATTGCCACTCACATAGAGGACAAGCAATGAATAGTAGTCCAAAGACCAAACCAGGCTAGGAAGTTTCCTGGACTTCCTTTTTCTCTTAGTAACATTTAAATGTTAAACTGAGAAATTCAAATGGAGAGATGCAGAATCCAGCAGTTTATGGCTTACTGCATATGCTGCTAGTAAATAATGATCATGTATCTACTGTTTAATGATTATCTTGATTTCCCTCCCCCCCTCTCATTTGTAGATTCTTCATGGATTTAAAAATCAAGTTGGGGATGAGAATTGGAGGCGTTTCTCTGACCAGTTTCCTCTTCCCTTAAAAGAGCGCCTTGCAGCTTACTATGGAGTTTAACCTTATGCACTGTGGCTGCAGTCCCACAATTAGAGGTAAGCACACAAATCTTCCTTGCTAAACAGAGCTGTATAACAAGTCTTCCTTCCTGTTTACATTATATGAAACATAATTAATTCACTAGAATAAAATTTTACAAATATGTTGGAACAGCTACCTTTCCATACACACAGTAGTGTATCAAGATAAGGTCGGAAATGTAGGTGTAAAAAAGTGCCTGTTTAATAAGTAAAATGATTATTATAATCCTCAAGCCATCATGCTAAAGTAACAGGCTCCCTTATAACTTATGAACTGGTAGATGACTGATGTAGTCTAAGGCAGGGATATTTCCCTAGGATAGGAAAGCAAGTTTGTTAAGATACTTTAGCAATGAGAAGTTAAATGCATTCATAACCACATACTATATTACCTTGGCATTGAATAAAGAATGTTATGTTAATCATAGAACAATAGAATATCCTGAGTTGGAAGGGACCCATCAGGATCAAGTCCATGTCCTGGCCCTGCACAGGACACCCCAAGAATCATATCATGTGCCTGAGAGCATTGTCCAAACACTTCTTGAACTCTGGCAGGCTTGGTGCTGTGACCACTTCCCGGGGGAGCCCAACCACCCTCTGGGTGAAGAACCTTTCTCAAATATCCAACCTAAACCTCCCCTGACACAGCTTCATGCCATTCCCTCAGGTTCTGTCACTGGTCACTAGAGAGAAGAGATCAGTGCCTGCCCTTCCTCTTCCCCTCATGAGGAAGCTGTAGACTGCAATGAGGTCTACCCTCAGTCTCCTCCAGGCTGAACAAGCCAAGTTACCTCAGCCACTCCTCGTATGGCTTCCCCTCTAGACCCTTTACCATCTTTGTTGCCATCCTTTGGACTCTCTCTAATAGCTTTATATCTTTCTTATATTGTGGTGCCCAAAACTGCACACAGCACTCGAGGTGAGGCCGCACCAGTGCAGGGCAGAGCAGAACAATCACCTCCCTTGCCCAGCTGTTAATGCTGTGCCTGATGCACCCCAGGATATGGTTGGCCCTCCTGGCTGCCAGGGCACTGCTGACTCAAATCTAACTACCCATCGACCAGGACCCCCAGGTCCCTATCTGCAGCACTGCTCTTCAGCCTCTTGTTCTCCTGTTTGTCTGTACATGTAGGGTTGCCCCATCCCAGGTGCAGAATGTAGCACTTTTTTTTTTGTTGAACTTCATACAGTTGGTGATTGCCCAGCCCTCTCATTTGTCAAGGTCTCTCTGCCCTCGAGGGACTCAATAGGTCCTCCCAGTTTAGTGTCATCATCAATCTTTCTTAGTATCCCTTCAAGTCCTGCGTCCAAGTCATTTATCAAGATGTTGAAGAGAAATGAGCCTAAGATGAAGCCCTGCAGAACCTCACTAGTCGCTGGTCAGCAGCCTGATGTAATCCCATTCACTGTAATTCTTTGTGCCTGACCCATGAGCCAGTTGCTCACCCATTGCATGATGTGTTTATCCAGCTGTTTGCTGGACATTTTGTCCAGAAAGATACTGTGAGAGAATATTGAAAGCTTTACAGAAATCCCGAACAGACTTCTCTTGGTCAGCTAGGTGAATTATCTTGTTGTAAGAGGAAATTAAGTTTGGCAAGCAGGACTTTCCCTTTATGAAGCTGTGCTGGCTGTGACCCATGACTGTTGTCTTTGAGGTGTTTTTTATTAACTCCCAGAGTAATGCTGCAGCATTGGTGAATGGGGCAGAGCAAATGACATCATCTACCTGGACTTATGCAAAGCATTTGATACTGTCCTGTATGACATCCTTGTCTCCAAATTGGAGAGACATGGATTTGATGGACGGACCACTCAGTGGATAATGAACTGGCTGGATGGCCACATGCTAAGAGTTGTGGTCAACAGCTGATTGTCCACGTGGAGACCGGTGATGAGTGGTGTCCCTCAGGAGTCGGTACTGGGGCTGATACTGTTCAACATCTTTGTTGGTGACATAGACAGTGGGATTGAGGCCACCCTCAGCAAATTTGCTGTTGACATCAAGCTGTGTGGTGCGGTCAACACGCTGGAGGGAAGGGATGGCAACCAGAGGGACCTGGACAGGCTTGAGAGGTGGGTCTGTGCAAACCTCTTGAAGTTCAACACGGCCAAGTTCAAGGTCTTACACCTGGATTGTGGCAGTTCCAGACACATCTACATGTTGGGCAAAGTAATTGAGAGCAGCCCTGCAGAGGATTTGGGGATGATGGTTGATAAAAAAACATGAGCTGCCTATTTGTGCTCGCAGCTCAGAAAACCAATGGAATCCTGAACTGCATTCATAGGAGCATGACCAGCAGGTTGAAGGAAATGACTCTCCCCTTCTACTCTGTTCTTGTGAGACACCCCCCCCCCCCTTGCGTACAGTTCTCTTGTCCCCAACATAAGGACATAGAACTGTGGCAGCAAGTCCAGAGGAGGCCACTAATTTGATAAAAGGATTCAAGCACCTTGCCTATGGAGACATTCTGAAAAAGTTGGGGCTGTTAAGCCTGGAAAAGGTTGTGGGGAGACATAATAGCAAACTTCCAGTATCTGAAGGGGGCTACAGGGAAGCCAAAGAGGGACTCTTCGTCAGGAACTGTAATGATTGGACAAGGAGCAATGGGTACAAATTGAAAGGGGAAATTTAGATTAGATTTCAAAGAGAAATTTTTTACTGTGAGGTTGGTGA